CCTCATAACTTTTTTCTGGGTGAACCGATTTCGATGATTATTTTTTTATTTGAAAGCTGGTGCTTCACATGTGGTCCCATATAAATTTGATCAAGGTCACAATTCATTCCTCATCACTCTAACGTATCAACGACATAATATAACTGTAACAATTAATGTGCCGATTGTTTGCGAAAATACTTTGCGAAACGCAAGTTTCGAATGTTTAATTGTGATTATCTAAAAATAATTTCATTGAATCTTTTATATTGAAGATGGGCGAAATAGAAAAAAAAAACATGTGTACTGCGTAGATTTAAGAAAGTGAAAGAAGCGAGCGAGGTGTTTCAGGATCGTGCCAAATGGGAGACCAAAGTTACTGCCTACTCTCTGGCTATGTATGTATCTTTTTACTTTACTTTTACTTACGAATATTTTTCGCACTGTGCGAACAATTCTAACGGTCGTTTGTATCGGAAAGTTGTGTAATTATGATACAAAAATATCCATTCTTTTCTACCTAGAAGCTAAAAGTCCGTCTATGTAGGTATCATTTCTACCGCCGACTAACAGTAGTTGCATTGCTGTTTCAGTTAGAAATTCGAAAATCAAAATCTAATTCAAATACTGATATAGGATAAAGTCCTAGTGTGGGAATCACCTTTATTCTATAAAAAAAAGAAAAAAGGTTAAAAAGAAGAATAATAATGTAAAATTAAAAATTTTGTACAGCCGACTTCAACATAATTTATTAAGAATGACTGAAAAATTATTGATCTGACCTTGATCAAATTCATATGGGACCACATGAGAAGTACCAGCTTTCAAATAAAATTATCGAAATCGGTTCATCCAGTAAAATGTTATGAGGTAACACACATAAAAAAAACATACAGTCGAATTGAGTACCGTCTCCTTTTTGAAGTCGGTAGAAGATTGTGGGTATAGATAGAAAATCCAATTACTATTACCAAAAAAAAACCCAAATTCAGAAGTAACAGGTGTTTTCTGTGATCTAAAAATATATTCAAAAAGTAATGAGGTAACACACAAAAAAAAAACATACAGTCGAATTGAGTACCGTCTCCTTTTTGAAGTCGGTAGAAGATTGTGGGTATAGATAGAAAATCCAATTACTATTACCAAAAAAAAACCCAAATTCAGAAGTAACAGGTGTTTTCTGTGATCTAAAAATATATTCAAAAAGTAATGAGGTAACACACAAAAAAAAAACATACAGTCGAATTAAGTACCGTCTCCTTTTTGAAGTCGGTAGAAAATATGACCCAGGTCACTCCTGGCATTGCTCTTTATCTGTTTGTCAAACTTGACATTACAATAGGTTCAGTCATTCTGAAGATTAGCCCAGACAGAATATTTACGTGGTGGATCCATGCTGCAGCTATATTATGGTTGCAGCACGAATGGGACGGCTCGACCGGGATAGGACCACGCTCTCACAGAATACCAGGGTAAATAACAGCTTAATGCTGCTGTGCTTCGTATGGTGAGTGTAGAGCAGCGTTGCCAATTCTACGGACTTTTCCGTAGATCAACGGAATTTTGTCGTCATCTATGGAACTACGGAATTTGAGGTTGAAATCTACGGAATTATTAAAAACTTAACAAAATAAAAACAATTTTTTTCATGAGTGTGAACTGAGCCGACAATGTCATTCTCTCTCTCTTCTTCTATACTGTCTGTATTAGAAAAAAACATTTTTGCTTATAAATTAATGTCAATTTTTTTTTGGTGAGGTTAATCGATTTCGAATTTTAATAGTGTAGATATTTTGCATTAAATTAAGTTAATTTCGAATTTCGAACATTTCTTGGAAAATAAGCAGTTATATAAACGTTTATAAAATTTTAATCAAATCGTCAAACGATCAAAAGTTGTTAGTTGTATAGTTTTTCACTGTTACGTAAATTACCAAGTCTGAAACACCATAATTTTGAAATAAACTAACAAAAACCAGAAAAAAAATATCTATGTTAATTTTAGTGAAGATGGTCTAATTATTGCTTCAAAATTTTCCAGAATCAAGTTTGTAACGTAATTTTTTTTTTAGTATAACTATGTACAAATATTTAAATGATAATTATTTTATTTGTTTTTTTATTAAAAATAATTTAATTAAAAGAAAACATTTTTTAATTAAAAGAAAACAATTTTTAATCAATTTTTTATGGTACTTTTTAATTTTTAATATGTGCAGCTTGATACTACAATAATTGAACTTACAACAAGAATTTTACATGACAGAAAGAATTTCTCCAAAAAATTGAACTATTCTATAACAAATGATTTTCATTATTAGGAAAATGCTCTCCTGTTCACTCTGTCACCTCTTACGACATCCACTGCACGATATTCTTACACTCTTACCGAACCTGGTATACCTGATATAGGTACTTAAAAGTAAATAAACTAGAAAATAATAGGCCGCCCTCAGACAACTTGTATTTTTAGTTTATGTGTAAACAAGATATTATTGTGCCAGAAGTATAGAGGTTATACTAGTAGCGCTATAATATCTCCTGCGCAGTTAACAGGTCACGCAAACCTTCTATTCTATTCTAATTTATGGTATCGTAGAAAAAAAAGTTCCGAATTCGATAATATGTAATATATCACGATTATCCACAATATACGGAGCACTTGGTAACGCTACATTTGGCCGACTTTGGCCGAATGTTTGCTATTTGCATTCCACAGCTGTGGAAATTTAGTTCTGTAGCGCTTACGTTATTTTGCAGGTGTGTCATATCTAAGTATACGCAGATTTGACCTGGTTTTTTAGTGTCTGCACATAACGCAGTTGCGGAGTGACTCTTACCGGCAAACGAATACCATCTGAGTTACACAATCGCACTGCTGGCTACTGAGAAATATTTTTGTTACCCGTTATTGCTTTATACATTATACGTGGTAGATCCACGCTGCTTACCGTTTACGTGGTAGAGCCATGCTGCAGCTATATTACTGGTATAGTTGTAGCACGAATGGGTCGACTCGACCGGGGAAGGACCACGCTCTCACAGAATACCAGCGTAAAATAGCAGCTTAACACTGCTGTATTTCTTATGGTGAGTGTAGAGAACCGGAGACCCTTTTTACTGGAATAAGGTATTCTATCTTATACCTCAGGGGTAACAACATATCTGCATTTTGATACTTAATCGAGGATAGATGTAGATACTTAACATCAGGTGGAGTGCTCGTTTGTCACCTCCATTCTATAAAAAAAGTATTTTTGTTTCTGGCTGTCTCGTTGGATCAGTGGTCGTAAGTGCTGATTATGATGGAGTCCCTAGTTCGAAACCTGGGTCCTGCCAAAATCAATAATTAAGAAGTCAGGAAGTTGATGATGTTTGACTTCCGTACTTTGGAAAGCACGTAAAACTGGTGGTCCTTTGTAACAGTGTAAATGTGTGCGTGCGTTTTAAATGGGGAGGAACATCGTCTTCTCGATACCACCATTTTTCTTAGAATCACACTAGACGCGAAGCATCAATGGAGCCTCCATTTATAAAATCTAGCAGGCAGACTTAGTTCTGCAGCATATGCTGATGAAAAAGATTAGTAATCTTACCAGTGTGGAAACAGAATAGTTTACTTTAGCTATTTCCATAGCATAATGTCGTATGGTATATATTGCTATGGGGACACGCGGCTGTCACTGAAATTATATTTGTTTTACAGAAGAGAGCCAGTAGAGTAATTTATGATTTAAAGCCTAAGGAGTCGCTGCGACAAAAATTTTAGGAAATTAATATATTAACTTTGGCCTCTCAATACATTTATGCAAATGTAATGTACGTATATACAAATATAAAAGTAGTTTTACAAAAATAAGTGATATTTATTCTGTAAATACTAGGAACAGACATATGCTAGTAGCACCACTTACTCGGAACTACGATAGGCTGTAATGATGATGATGACGATGATCATTGTATATCTTACCATTACCGTTACAGCCTATTAAAGGACTTTAATAGGCTGTAACGGTAACGGTACACGGACACTGCTGAACATAGGCCTCCCCCATAGATTGCCTCATACACATCGATATTTAGCAACCACAGTTTTCACATTTTTAGTAGTTATCAGTAAGATGCTGCTGCCCATCTCCTGATTTGTTTCCCTCTGTCGACTACGGGATGATATGCGGTAGTGGATGTTATTACTACACGGTATGGTATATCTTACAAAAATATAATAAACTAATGCAGTTCTCCATCACCGCATCTCTCTAAATTTACCGATAGATTTAAGGGTGTAGAGAACTGACATAATTACAGACTCCCTCGTTGGTCCAGTGGTTGTAGTAGTACGACTGCTGATCATGAGGTCCCGGTTTCGAATCCCGAGTCGGGCCAAAAAAATCATTTATTGAGTTTTTCCATCAAGAAATTCTCAGTAGCTGCCCGGAGTCGGGAAGGTGGCGGTGTCTCACACCCGTGCATCGGAAAGCACGTAAAGCCGTTGATCCTGCGCCTGATCTCTCTCCGGTCGTGTCGGTTTACCGTACTATCGGGCTATGAGAGTGAGGGAATAGAGAGGGCACCTGTGCTTGCGCATACACTTATGACCGAAATTCGGCCTGGAAGACATTATTATAATTACAGACTATCAGGCATTGTATATTAGTTTCCAAAACTGACAACGCATCTGTAGCTTTCTTTGTATGAAGTTGGTCGCAGGTGTTGAAGGACTGCAGTAACTACTTACCACATACCATAGATGAACCGTGAGTTCGTGGTCACTTCACACAGATTTATTAAAGAAATATATAGCTCTGGCAAATTTGAGATGACATTTTCGTTTTCTGACATGTAAGACATGCATTTTTCTTGTTATCTTTTCACTACCTACCCTCGGAAATGCAGTAAAATAGATTATACTGCTTCTACAAACTACATTTTTTATGATAGTCTAATAAAGAGCCTGGAATATAATTCTTATACAGTCAGTATATATGCACGTAATGCAATTATTCACTTATTGTTTTCAGGTTGGACGGATACCAGCGGATCATCCACTCGTCGGAGGGCACAAGGGCCCGGTGCTGGACATCGCCTGGTGTCCCCACAACGACAATGTTATCGCCAGCGGTTCAGAAGACTGCGTTGTCAAGGTATATATATTTAATTGCATGCTATCTGTACAGATACACAATCGCACTACAGTTCCACAGTTTTTTTTTTTAATTTCGCCAGAGATTACACCATCACTAATGGCCGTTTGTTAACTAAATTTACACATTTTTTTTTAATATAGTCTTGTTAACAAATTCAGGCTTATTCTAGAGACGGGTAATTACAAACACCACTGCGATTGGATACAGTGGTGTTGGTTTGATCGTACGAGTATATATCTTTATATATAAAAATTACGTGTCACGATGTTTATCCGCGATGGACTCCCTAAACTACTGAACTGATTCCAATGAAATTTTGCACACTGTGTGCATTTTGGTCCAACTTGAGAGATGGATAGTTTTTATCCCGATAATACATAATAATACATAAACACTCCCGCCTGTCACCCAGAGGGGGGGTAGGCAGAGACTACGGACTTCCATTTGGCGCGATCCTGACACATGCGATGCTGATCCTGACATCCCGATAAATGATCCTCAAAATGTTTTATTGCAAATTTAAGGATATTTATAGGAAGAGTCTGGAAAGGGCAGAACAACGTCTGCCTGGCGAGCTAGTGTAATATATAATTCACGAGTTTCTACACTATTTACAAATTGTCTTATAATATAATATAAATGTTTCGTACCCTCATCGTTTGTAAGTATGTTTCCACTTAAAATAAATAAAAATTGATATTAAAATAAGGATGCTTAAACAGTGGAAATATAATATATATAACAGTTCCACAGTTAAATGTAATAAAGGGCTACTGAATGTCTGATATTAGTACAAGTTCATGTGAAATCTTATAATTGGAACTGGAGCAGTGCAGCGTACTTTCCTACTTTATAAACCCCTCAGAAATGAAGAGCATATTCATCAGTGGGAAGCACGTAGGCGGTTGCTATATTTACTATTTAATTATGTTTATCGTCCCGACGGTGTAGTAAGAAACGACAGAGGGAAACTGAAACAAGAGATGAGCAACAGCATCTTTCTTATAACAACTCAAAATTATTAAAATCTGCGGTTGCCAACCCGCCTGCCAAACGTAGCAACTATGGCAAAATCCCCCCCTATGAAGCAATCTTTTTTATTTTTTTTAAATACTAGTAATGCTATTAAACATTACTAATATTCCCGTTAACCACTTCTGGTAAGCTTAAAATGCTTGTGCTAGAAGTGGTTCATGACAGTAGTCGATTGGCGGATTCGAACCCACGACCTTTCTAGTTCGCGGTCCGCGCCCTGTCATTAGGCTACTGACGCCTTAATGGGCTACTTTAATTATTATTATTTTAATTAATTTATTATTATATTAATTTATTAAACCTTAATGGCTTACTGGCTATCTTTGGGGGAGGCTTATGTTCAGCAGTGAACTTTTATAAGCTGTCATAGATGGATGGATGGCTAAATTAGGCTTTATTTACACAGAATAGCGTACAAAAGGCGGACTGATTGTTTTAAGGGGAAATGCGAGCCGAGACACTTGAAAATTAGGTACATATTTGAAGAAATAGCGCTAGCCGTCCGAGAAGATCAGACAACTGCATATCCGACTGAATAGCCTAAGTAAAAAGGCATAATTCGAGGTTTCGCTCTCTACCATTTCCTCCTCCAATATTGGACGAATTTAAAAGATATTTCTACAGATACTACATGATGATATACACTGTGTTCCTATGTTTTTCTTTTTTCAGTATTAGTTATCGAAGGGAGTTGCTCAGTTTGTTAGGGTAATTTGGCGCAACTTGAACATTAACTATAATATTTAAATACTGGGTTTTTTTAATAGTTTATACCTCAAAGAAACGAATTATAGTAATAAGGTTGCATGAGTGTCTAAAAGTAGTTCATATTTAGCATGTGTAATATAAAATAAAATTTGTCGCTGAAAAAAGTTACAATTATGAGTATTTCTTGTCATTTAAAGCCGGTTCAACGTTTAACAAAATAGCGCCAGGGTCATTCGTCATGAGTAGATTCAGTAAAGCCGGGTCTTCAATTGGAGCGGTATTGGAGTCCATTATAACGAAAACAAAAAACCTACTTCGCAAAAATAACCGAAACAACATTCACTATACACAGAGGCAAAGCGAATTTTTTTTTGTCATTGTTGACAAATGTCATTATTGACAGTTGGTAAATAGGTAATAAAAAAATCGAGTTGACAACAACCGAACTAATGTGAATAACGATTTGCAGGCACAAACAATGAGTGTTTTGTTTGTTTTTTATATAATTAAAGGAAAATAAATTTAATAAAAACCTTCTGAAAATCACTTGATTGCACATTTTCATGAAAATACATATTTTTTTACTCAGATTTAGAAATCGATTATTAAGACTGTAATCACAATTATTATTAATGTGGCAACACAGAATCAATCTCCAACCAAATAAATGGCGACGATCTGTTCTCTCTGGCTACCCCGTCAGGGATTGTGCGTGAAGATAAGTAAGTAAGTAAATAAATGGCGACGCGTTTTGAATTCTCACTCTTGAAACTCACTTATTAAACGACTTGTTTTTAAATTTAATTTCCTACTACGATAATTTAAAAAAATAATAATTTTAGATTTAATTATATTTTTTCGTATAAATACTTTTTACAGAACAACTTGTCCACGTTAAGCCAAGAATGAACAATCCTTTTTGAACACTAGGCCTCCGTTGACAGCTGTCTAAATAGGCAATTTTGAGCATTTTGTAATTCTATCAAGAGAAGGCATAATTTAAAAGAAGAAGAAGAGCATTTTGTAAGGGTTCTAGATAGCTTATAAAGATAATGTACCATCAAAAAGAAAAACATAGAGACATAGAAAAGGTTGATATTTATTTTACTGTAAAAGCTCATTGCTATTAGGTCACAAACCAGATAGAAAACAGGCGAGAGCTTTTGTGTGGAGAAAAGACCATCCCTATTTCCTCTTAAGGCACTCTCTCTCCCAGGTCAAATAGAACATATTATAGGGTGCAAAGTGCAAAAAAATTAGAAATAATTTACTATACCAACTAATAAAAGTTGTGTTAGCTTTGGGAATATTTTTTTCAATTATTTGTTTTTCTATTTAATATTATTAAATTTTAAATTTTCGGAGCCCCGAACCCGATGTAATAATAAAAAAAAATGTTAGTAAACGTGTTTAGTAGTTAGATTTGACATGAATAGTTATCGAACTCAAAAGCAAAAAAAAAAAAGAATTATATTGAGCCTTTCTATATCTCCGTAAAGTAATTTTAAACTGGAATAATCATGTGTACGAGTACCTAATTGTAACAGTGTTTATGTGACGACGGCTGCTCTAAATGTTTTTCTAATTTAAGAAAGAATGTCGGCGGTGATAAGTCAGCTGAATGTGTTATGGGTCTTATAGCCACTTAACACGTGAAGGTGATAAAGAATACAAAATAACATATCATAAAAGTTCTCTTCTATAGTTGAAATCATTGAACGTACAAAAAAATACAGGTGGCTGAGAAAAAGACGTCTACTAAATCCAGGTAGAAGGATTCCTTTTAGGGTTACGTACACGAGGGGTAACAACAACGGGACCCTATTACTAAGTCTCCGCTGTCCGTCCGTCCGTCCTTCCGTCTGTCTGTCTGTTTGTCAGCGGGCTGTATCTCATGATCCGTAATAGGTAGACAGTTGAAATTTTCACAGAATGTGTATTTCTGTTGCCGCTATAACAAAAAATAATAAAAATAAAAATAAATTAAAAATTAAAGGGGGCTCCCCTACAAGAAACGTGTTTTCGAAGGGACGGAACCCTTCATGCGCGAGTCCGACTCCCACTTTACCGGTTTTATTTGCCTTCCTAAGAGTCTCTGGTCAGATACCACTCTCTTACCTATTTCCGCCATCAGATAGCCATACTTGCACTGCTGCGTACTAGGTTGAAGGGTATAGAGAGTACGTAATTACAGGGTGTGAGACATTCCATGTTAGTCTTCAAAAGTGACAGAGCATCTAACTTTGTATCAAAGAAAATTTAAAATTTCCAAAAAGTTATCCTCTCCCTGTGGATGTTAGAGCAGAGGTGTATAATTTTGTAAATGGTTCTACAGAAAATCGAACTTGATTGTAAAATTTAGGGTATTCTAGCGACCTTATAAATTTACGCAAAAAGAGTCTAAGTCCTAATTAGATTCTTTGTGCGTAAATTTAATTATATAGCATAAGTAAAAAGGCACGCAATTTAAAACTATAATTCGCGGGCCGTATGTTCGACATGATTGCGTTAGAGATATTTACTTCATATTAGTAAAAAAAAAAACTTAGCCGTGGTAGCTCAGATGGTTAGCGCTCGCTGTAAATTTGACAGTATGCGATCAACTCGGGTTCGATCGCCGCCGGCAACAATAAAATTGTTAATTGCAATTTAAGTGCTGATTTACCGCGTGCTCGGTGATTAAAGAAAACATCCTGACGAAACATGCATGTCTGAGAAATAAGAAAAGTCATGATGTGTAGTTTGTCAACACGCGTTGGGGCAGCATGGCGGACATTTCCTTAGCCTAACACTTTTAGAATTGAGAGGATGCCTGTGCCCAGCTGTGGGATGTATAGATGCTATAACTTAGTAAAAAAAAGTCTCGAAGTTGTTTATTTATATGGAAAATATTAAATTCATTAAAGTAATTATAAAAAATTAATTGATAATTGTTAAGATCCTTATCCTTACCAGTCGTGTCCAGCTTGAAAAAAATTACAATGCTACAGTGAATAAGTTCCGCAAATATGTATAACGTTACCTTGTCTAATATTTTTCTGCTGCTTTCGTACTCTAGCCAGGAACTCGGGCTCGAACCTTGATATAACTAACGTCAGTCTGACACCGCTGAAGGAATTATAACATGCACGACGGCGACTGTATGCAATGCATTTTGCTGGTCCAGTTACGCCATAGATAACCGATAGTTGTTTGGGACGATAGTCGTAGATGTAGATGGGTAATGTGTGTATAGATGTCGATGATTATGTGTCCAGCTTGAAAAAAAAATGCAAAGCAATTAAGTTTCGCAAATATAGTATTACCGTGTCTTACACTTTTCTGTAGATAAGATAGGGTTCGTACTCTAGTCCTCGGGTTTGAACCTCGATATAACTACAATCAATCTATAGAATAGAATAGAATGATTTTTATTCAATATAGATTATTACGTAATACGTATTTAAAGTCAAGTTCTTTTATTTACCACTGGTTCGGAAAATACCTCTGTCCTGGGAAGAACCAGCAAGAAACCCAGCGGGACTTTTTTTTAAACCTATTTCACTTTACAATAATTTTATTTGTACAATTTTTAAATGAATTTTAATAGAACCAGTATGGTGGCGATCACCTCATTCCATTCTCAGGGGTTATTTTTATTTATGTATTCTCTATTCGGCCACATAGCTCAAAGAACCGACAGCCGATGGGGAAAAAAGATTTTCGCCTCGCACGTCGGCACCAAAGTGTAGGGCGTCCTCAAGCAGGCGAAGTGTAGGGCGTCCCTACACTAAATGGAGTGACGACCTAATAAGACATGCAGGAAGTCGATGGATGCAGGTGGCTAAGGAACGTGATCTGTGGCACTCCTTGGGGGAGGCCTATGTTCATCAGTGGACTTGTGAAGGACTGTAATGATGATAATGATGATGATTCTGACACCACTGAAGAGATTATAGCATACGTCGATTGTATCCAATGCTTTTTGATAGTCAAGTTACGCCACACATAGGCAACCCATAGTTACTATAGGAACTATAGTCGAAGTTATTGAAAATTTTGTATACCTAGGACAAAATAACCGTTTACATATGGACAACTTCTTTACATAGTTGACTAACGAATCCAACAATCGTGCTTTAAGGCAGTCTCTTAGGTCTATATTCAACAACATGCATTGGCATACAGTGCTAATTCGGAACCGGAGACCCTTTTTACTGGAAACGAGGCATTCCATCTTAGTCCTCATGGCTGACAAGGCATCTGTATTTTGATTCGTAATCGAGGATAGATGTAAATGTCTATGGGCCACAGCAACCACTTACCATCAGGTGGTCTGTATCCTCGTTTGTCACCCTTATCCTATATAAAAAAACTACTTTTATTGCCTATATAAAAAATATTATAGTTAGGAAACCTAGAGATTTTTTGTATAAACTAAAATAGTTGTTGATTTTTTTTTTAATTCTAAAGGTCACGTAAGCAAATCACAACTTGTTCTTTAATCTTCTTCGCTTTTGTCAGGTGTGGCAAATTCCTGATGGAGGCATCTCGCGTACGCTGACGGAACCGGTGGTGGATCTCGTGTACCACCAGCGACGCGTGGGGCTTGTGCTATGGCACCCGACCGCGCAGAACGTGTTACTCACCGCCGGGTCCGACAATCAGGTGAGTTGTCCTCACAATCGTCTAGACACCCGAGCACAGCTTAGCCCAAATAGACAGAACCTATGATATAGTCTGGGTTATCATTGGCTTCGATTATCAGGTGTTTGTCATGTAATTAGAAAACATTTTTCTGAGATAAGGTGCACAGACCCTACCATTTAGAAATGAATATATTTTTTAAACCCCAACAGATCGCCATATGGAACGTTGGTACGGGCGAGGTACTGCTCAGCCTAGACTGCCACCCAGACCTCATCTACTCCGCCTGCTGGAATTGGAACGGTTCCAAACTGCTGACCACCTGCCGCGACAAGAAGATCAGGTATTGAGTCTGTACTCATATATACATTGTAGATATATGTATTCAGCGTATTGGTCATACTTTATCTCATTGGCCTTTTCACTTAAATCAGATGATTTAAGAAAAGTTTTAATTAGCTTTTGCATGGCACTTATTAGCCCAGTCGTCATCATCACCCTGCAATGTTTAAGTCCACTGCTGCACCCTATTTCTAGAACACTCCAGGCATTTATTTCTTGAAAGATTTGCTCATAACTCCGCACTATGTCGGTTCGTTGGCGTAGAGTTAATGTCCTTACACTAAAGTCTGTCACTAGGGCAGAAAATCAAATCAAATAATCGGCCAAGTGCGAGTCGGACTCGCGCATGAAGGTTTCCGCACGTAGTTTTAATTTTTAATTTATTTAATTTTTTATTATTTGTTGTTACATAAACACAACAGAAATACACATTCTGTGAAAATTTCAACCAGCGGAGGCTTAGTTCCTTTCCGTTCCGTTGGTTACCCTTTGGGTACGGAACCCTAAAGCTTGGGCTAAACTAAGACGAATCCGGCGCAGGATGCGAGACGCGAATTTGCGCGATTCGCTCGCTCGTTTAGCCTCCCAAACTGGGGCGAATCCCGCACGTCATTAGTTTTGGTTTCTCAATAGGAAAACATGTCTTTTGATATTGAAGCTGAGGATTTGTTTTTATTAGCATTAACTGAAGAAGAATCTCAAGATGTGAGGGAAAAAAAGAAGAAAATGGACTTATGAACTGAGTACTCAACGCATAGAATTTGGAGCGTGTCACACTTTGATACACACATTACGAAAAGTTATGTATATTTTCGTATGCCGGAAGAATGCTATAACGAAAGTTTTATCAAGAATCGAATAAAATATACGGAGACATATTATCTTTTTTCCTATTATTTTTATAGTCTTCGTGGCTGAGGTCGTATAGAATCTTGTTTTCTTTTACTTTTTGTAAAAATAATTCAAGATGCAATGCCATTTCGAAAAATCAGGCACTATCCCGCGTATATTTCGCTGTAGAACGTGCGACTATTGTGATGATCGTGTGAACACCTGCATAGAAGTTTGCTGACGCAATCGGCGCGAGCGAATCGCGTCCCGCGTCCCGCACGAGATTCGCCTCAGTTTGGCCGAAGCTTAAAAATTTAAAATGGACAATCGTACTGTAGACATTTGGTTGTTTTAATTGTGTTTATTGTGTTTTATTTTTTCTTTCTGTTTTTATCTTTACATAGTAGGATAGATAAGACTAGAATTATTATAATTGTCATGAAGAGGTGAGGTTGTTGTTAGTAAATATCAATTAATAATTTTTGTTTAGTTTTTGATTTTATATTATTCGAAGTAATATTCGAAATTTGTCGAAACTGGTGTGGTATTCTCTGATTAGTCGCGTCTCGCATTCACCCTGTACTAGGTAATGAGATAAGTAGATTAACCGGTGAAGAAATGTATGAAAAGTGAATATATATATCTAACATAATACCTTTGTACGTTTTTCCGTCTGCCCAATTACGACACATTCAAATCTAAGCACAAACAATTTATTTTAAGTACGCCATTTCATACAAAAAAGGCTTCGGGTACGTCGTCGCCTTAGAACTAAGATAGAATACATCATAGATAGAACTTATTCTCTCTTTCCCCGCGACAAACCGTCACTCTTATTTGTTTGCTTGCTCCTGCTTGCCCAAAAGAAAAGAAGCCTTACTACATAGTAATGTACAGAAGATGACCAGGTTTTGCAGTATAATTTCTGCAAGGACGAAGGTGATGCATTTAGTATAAACAATTGTTTTTGCTGTCCAAAGGATTATCGATCCACGCAAGGGTGAAGTGGAGGCGGAGGCGATCGCCCACGAAGGCAGCAAGGCCTCGCGTGCCATATTCCTCAAGCACGGCTTAGTGTTTACTACAGGGTAAGTGTAATATGATATATAGTATTCTTTGTTTTATCAAAAGATTGACATACAATAACAGTATATAACAGTCCACTTTATGGTGAGTGGCCACATATATCTGCAACCAGCTTCAAATAAACAAGGTCAAACATGTACGCAACCCTACGCGAAACCCTTTACGTCATTATCATCATCATCATTAGCTTCTTCGCCGTCGGCATTGTAGTCATCATCATCATCATCACAGCCTATCATAAGTCTTCTGCTGAACATAGGCCTACCGCAAGGAATGTCACAATGCACGGTCCTGAGCCACCTCCATTTATTGACTTCCTGCATCTCAAGTCATCACTCCATTTGTTGGGGGTGGGGGGCACTCTAGAGCCTTTTTTCCAATTGGTTGTCGATTCTTTGAGCTTTGTGACCGACCCATTGTCACTTTAGATTACTGATCCGTTGGGCTATGTCAGTTAGTTAGGTTCTACTGCGGATGTCCATTACAAAGTCTATCACGGAGATAAACTCAGAGCATGGCCCTCTTCATAGCTCGCTGTGCGGCCTTGATGGTTGTACACTGGTTTTACACTTTTGTTACAAACGATACCATGTCGGTTTTGTTTGCGTTTCGCAGGTTCAGTCGGATGTCGGAGCGTCAATACTCGCTGCGTACTCCGGACGCGTTGGGCGAGCCGATCGTTACCGTCGAGATCGACACCAGCAACGGGGTCATGTTCCCGCTGTACGATCCCGACACGAACCTGATCTACCTCTGCGGCAAGGGCGACTCCGTTATACGGTACTTTGAGGTATGTTCACAAAACAAACTGGTTTCTTTTCCTGTGATCAAAGAATCTATCATGGATCTCTTAAGTTGCGATTATGAGATATACAGAAAGATTGCGTGATCCCCATTAAATATAACTTTTAACAGAAAGCATATTTTATACGTGGTAGAGTCATGCTGCAGCTATATTAATGGTATAGTTGTAGCACGAATGGGTCGGTTCGACCGGGGAAGGACTACGCTCTTACAGAATACCAGCATAAAATAGCAGCTTAGCACTGCTGTGTTTCGTATGGTGAGTGTAGAGAACCGGAGACCATTTTTACTGGAAAAGAGACGTTCCGTCTTAGTCCTCACGGGTGGCAACGGCATGTGCATTTTGATTCGCAAACGAGGATAGATGTAGATGTCTATGGGCCACAGCAACCACTTACCATCAGGTGGACTGTGTGCTCGCTTGTCACCCTTATCCAATAAAAAAAACCTTATCCTGAGCTATTTATTCAGTCTGTTACAAAAATAATACAAAGGCCTTATGTATTATAACTTGACTAGTAAATCATTTTGTTATATTCTACTAGTCGAGTTATAATCTGACAAGTTTTACGTGGTAGAGCCATACTGCAGCTATATTAGTAGTATAATTTTAGCATGAATGGGTCGGCTTGACCGGGGAAGGATCACGCTCTCTTACAATACCAGTTTAATATAGCAGCTTAATACTGCCGTGTTTCTTTTTACTGGAAACGAGGCATTCCATCATAGTCCTCACAGATGACAACGCATCTGCATTTTGATTTGTAATCGAGGATAGATGTAGATGTCTATGGGCCGCAACAACCACTTGCCATCAGGTGGACTTTGTGCTCGTTCGTAAAAAATGATTTTACATTTAAGCACAGTGTGTTTAATACAGTGTGTACTGGCGGTTTAAAAGAATTCATCTCCTCAATTAGTCTCGTTGGTGACGTAAAAGTTGCCTAAGTCAGATAAATGTTGTGGTTCCCGGTAGATGGCGGTGTATCCATCTTATTTACGCTAGATGTAAAATGACCAGTCCGGCGACTTACTGCATCGTCAAACATGCGAGACCTTTGATACTGCAATCAGTCCGTCCGCCAAGTGTGACGGTTAAGGCTAAGCCTACAAATGTAGAGGCTCATGCAGCCCATAAGACCTAATAAAGGACTTTTACGGGCTGATGGGGCAGAAGAAGAATACAATATCCATCCATTCATAGATTGCCTCATAGAGGGATATTGCCATAGTTGCCACGCTTGGCAGGCGGTTCGGACACCGCAGTTTTTTATTATTTTGATGCTGTCAGGAAGATGCTGCTGCCCGTCACGTGTTTCGATTTCCCACTGTCGCCTCTAACGACACCCACTGGGGTAAGGGGTAGTGGATATTCTTATAGCGCCACTACACTGTTCACGGTATACGGTAAATATTTAAAAATAATTGAAAATTAGTTATCATGTAGAATGAATGAACGAGGAAAGAGTGACAAAGCAAATTTATGTTGCAGAAGTGAACGGCAGGGTCGGGAAGGGACGCCCTAGACGAAGGTTTATCGACCAAATCGGCGATACATTGAAAATGGGCCAGTTTAGGAGTACCCTTAACAGACGAGGGTGTATGCGTAGATATATGGATGTAAAGGAGGAAAGAGAGGTGTGTCAGGATAACGCTAAATGGAAGTTCGTAGTCTCTGCCTACCCCTCTGGGTGACATGCGTGAGTGTTTGTGTTGTGTGTGAAAATTAGCTAATAAGTAAAAGAAAAATCTGGTGTAATTATTATAATCTTGTACTTCTGTGGTATTATTTATATTATTTGTTAAGATCATACGATATAAGATAGACCGTTCATTGTTGCAGGTGACCCCCGAGCCGCCATTCGTTCATTACATCAACACTTTTCAGACTCCAGACCCTCAGAGGGGTAAGTTAAAAATTTAAATAAACGTCTCACATTTGCACACTCATTTTTCTTTTTGAAAGTATTATGGGTGTTAAATATTCTCAGCCTTAATAATAAAAATGGTCGTTAATTTAAGAAATGCTTAAAGTTGCTCTCTCTCTCTCTTATCACTGAATGACAATAGAAAGAGACAGAACAATTATAAGCAAGGCCTTCCGTCGATTCAGTGTGGATTAGCATATTTCGCATGTATAAAGACTACCAGAAGACCTGCATACGGTTTGCGGATTTCACATGCACGGAAGATATTTATAATTCTCAGATATGCAGATTTCTGATCTTTACCTCTAGTATGCAGCTTTCAAAATATCAGAACATTCTGAAGAACAGTGTCTCTAGTCTTAATTGATGATTCTGGTACTATGATATATAAATCCCTAAACGTGGCGGTTTTGCTTATGCCTAATCCTTATACCTTACACCTTTAATCTCATACTTAGTTTTTATTGGTTGTTTTTTTTTTATGTTCTTACTTATTTTATGTAAGAAAATACTAGAAAAGTATTTCTCGTTGTAGTCGTCTATTTTAATAGTTATGTCACCACTGTTTATGTTTTACTTTCTTTCATCTTTCAAATGATAATGAAGAATGTAAATAAGATACTTTAAAACTGCTTTGTTATTAAATATCGTTAGTTAATAATTTTTATTTTATTTTAAGGTATTGGCATGATGCCGAAGCGAGGCTGTGACGTTGCTACATGCGAAATAGCGAAGTTCTATCGCCTTAACAACTCTGGCCTGTGTCAGGTGAATTAGTCTAGTTATATCTTCTTCATCAGCATAATATTACAGTCTAGTGCACTACTGGACATGCATCTGTTCTAAGGAGGATGTCATGTATTTCAGATGTGAAATATCTACTAGTGGTAGGACTCCTTTTCTGCCTATGACTCTCGGGGTAGGTACAACCCTTTACCTATATCTGCCACCGAATAGCTCTGGTGTGGTCTGGTGTGAAGGATTTAGAACTCCAGTATATCTTATAGGCTGTTAGTGATTCTTAAGGGGTGACAACGCATCTATAGCTTTCTTGATTTAAATTTGACTGCAGGTGTCCATGGACTGCAGTAGCCACTTATCCTTATCTCAGCCAACCGGTGAACTAGAAGTTCGTTTGTCACTTTAGTTTTATAAAAAAAAATAGACATGAAACACGAAGCAGTGCCGCTTAAGACGTCTGTTATTACAAAGAAGTTCGTTACCCTTATCTCAGCCATCCGGTGAAATAGAAGTTTGTTTGTCACTTTAGTTTTATTAAAAAAATCTAGACATGAGACAGAAAGCAGTGCCGTTTAAGACGTCTGCAATTACAGAGAAGTTCGTTTGTCACTTAAGTTTTATAAAATTAACTAGATATGAGACAGTAATCAGTGCCGTTTAAGACGTCTGTAATTACAAAGAAGTTCGTTTGTCACTTTAGTTTTATAAAATTAATTAGATATGAGACAGTAATCAGTGTCGTTTAAGACGTCTGTAATTACAAAGAAGTTCGTTTGTCACTTTAGTTTTATAAAATTAACTAGATATGAGACAGTAATCAGTGCCGTTTAAGACGTCTGTAATTACAGAGAAGTTCGTTTGTCACTTAAGTTTTATAAAATTAACTAGATATGAGACAGTAATCAGTGCCGTTTAAGACGTCTGTAATTACAAAGAAGTTCGTTTGTCACTTTAGTTTTATAAAATTAACTAGATATGAGACAGTAATCAGTGCCATTTAAGACGTCTGTAATTACAGAGAAGTTCGTTTGTCACTTAAGTTTTATAAAATTAACTAGATATGAGACAGTAATCAGTGCCGTTTAAGACGTCTGTAATTACAAAGAAGTTCGTTTGTCACTTTAGTTTTATAAAATTAACTAGATATGAGATAGTAATCAGTGCCGTTTAAGAGTCTGTAATTACAGAGAAGTTCGTTTGTCACTAAAGTTTTATAAAATTAACTAGATATGAGACAGTAATCAGTGCCGTTTAAGACGTCTGTAATTACAGAGAAGTACGTTTGTCACTTAAGTTTTATAAAATTAACTAGATATGAGACAGTAATCAGTGCCGTTTAAGACGTCTGTAATTACAAAGAAGTTCGTTTGTCACTTTAGTTTTATAAAATTAATTAGATATGAGACAGTAATCAGTGTCGTTTAAGACGTCTGTAATTACAAAGAAGTTCGTTTCTCACTTTAGTTTTATAAAATTAACTAGATATGAGACAGTAATCAGTGCCGTTTAAGACGTCTGTAATTACAGAGAAGTTCGTTTGTCACTTAAGTTTTATAAAATTAACTAGATATGAGACAGTAATCAGTGCCGTTTAAGACGTCTGTAATTACAAAGAAGTTCGTTTGTCACTTTAGTTTTATAAAATTAACTAGATATGAGACAGTAATCAGTGCCGTTTAAGACGTCTGTAATTACAGAGAAGTTCGTTTGTCACTTAAGTTTTATAAAATTAACTAGATATGAGACAGTAATCAGTGCCGTTTAAGACGTCTGTAATTACAAAGAAGTTCGTTTGTCACTTTAGTTTTATAAAATTAACTAGATATGAGATAGTAATCAGTGCCGTTTAAGAGTCTGTAATTACAGAGAAGTTCGTTTGTCACTAAAGTTTTATAAAATTAACTAGATATGAGACAGTAATCAGTGCCGTTTAAGACGTCTGTAATTACAGAGAAGTACGTTTGTCACTTAAGTTTTATAAAATCAACTAGATATGAGACAGTAATCAGTGCCGTTTAAGACGTCTGTAATTACAAAGAAGTTCGTTTGTCACTTTAGTTTTATAAAATTAACTAGATATGAGACAGTAATCAGTGCCGTTTAAGACGTCTGTAATTACAGAGAAGTTCGTTTGTCACTTAAGTTTTATAAAATTAACTAGATATGAGACAGTAATCAGTGCCGTTTAAGACGTCTGTAATTACAAAGAAGTTCGTTTGTCACTTTAGTTTTATAAAAAAATCTAGATGTGAGACAGGAAGCAGTTTGGTTTAAGACGTCTGTAATTACAAAGATCGTTTATTACTTTTATGATATGAGACAGGAAGCAGTGCCATTTAAGACGTCTGTAATTACAAAGAAGTTCGTTGGTGACTTTAGTTTTATATAAAAAAATCTAGATATGAAACAAGAAGCAGTGCGGTTTAAGACGACAGTTATTACAATTGCCAATCCGCCTGCCAAGTGCGATAATTACAACACATCGGAGGGATCCCTTGGAAAGGCTCAAATCCACTGTATTGACTATCTACAAGCCTGTCAGAAGAAGAGGCACCCGTGACAAGGTGTGATATCTAAGTTATGTCAAGTCTAGTACTTAGGTTATAATGCTCCCTCCTGAGACTGACGACTATGGTTGTTTCATACCTAAGCTCAGCTATGCGAGATTAAGAGGAAATGCGGGTGGTCTTTTCTCTATACAAATGGCCTCGCCTGTTTTCTTTCTGGTTTATGACCTTATATAGCAATGACTTTTTACAGTAAAATAAATATCAACCTCTTCTGTGTTTTCTTTTCAAAAATGATGGTACATTATAAGCAACCAGAACCCTTACAAAATGCTCAAAATTGCCTATTTAGACCGCTGTCTACAGAGGCCTAGTGTTCAAAATTTGATAACTAACACTGAAAAAATAAACTTAGGGACTCAGTCTACATCATCATGTAGTATCTGTAGAAATATCTTTTAAATTGGTCCAATATTGGAGGAGGAAAAGGTAGAGAGCCAAAGCTCGAATTATGCCTTTTGCTATTCAGTATTATTCTTAGGCTATTCAGTCGGATCTGCAGTTGTCCTTATCGGATGCCGAGCGCTACAGCGCTACAGCGATAGTTTCTTCAGATACCTAATTTTCTAAAGTCTCTGAACCCGCATTTCCTCTTAAGGCTGACTGGTAGTTAAGCTCGCGATACCATGCATACCAACTGGATGATTGGTAGTCCACTGTGCGATTTACTAGAAGTTTTTTTCCTCGCACAACTTCTTTGTGAAATCGACTACCACCAGCGATTTTTCGGACCGATGCGACTTAGGGACCTTCAAAAAAAGGACTCTTATCATTTTAAAAATGCCGGCAACGCATCTGCAATTGCCCTGGTGTTGCAGTTGTTCATTGGCGGCGGTAGTCACTTACCATCAGGTGAGCCGCATGCTCACCATGCCCTCTCTTCTATAAAAAAAATGTTGGATGATAATGGCAGGTGGTATCCATGACGGTGCCGCGAAAATCGGAGCTGTTCCAAGAGGACCTATACCCGGACACGCTGAGTGACGAGGCTAGCCTCACGGCTGACGAGTGGCTCGCCGGCGAGGACGCAGAACCATGCACTATGTCGCTCAAGGTATACGCACGCGCGCACACACACACACACACACACACACACACACACACACACACACACACACACACACACACAATATTAGCTGATTTTTAGTTTATTCGTCAACTAATGGGCCTAATAGCAGCTCAATGCTACTGCGTTTTGTGTAGTGAGTGTAGAGAACCGGACACACTTTTTACTGAAAATAAGGCATTACATCTTAGTTCTCATGGGTGACAACGCATCTGCGTTTTGATTCTTCATCGAGGATTGATGTAGATGTTTATGGGCCACAGCATCCACTTACCATCAGGTGGACTGTCTTTTCGTTTGTCACCATAATTCTATTTATAAAAACTTCCTAGTAAAGAGACAATGAAACTTTTAGCTTGACTATGTTGACTATTTAGTATGAAAAAGTTATTATATAGAAGTTACGGAAATGGTCGAGTAACTTTATTACTATTATTTTAAAAATACACAAGTGGTTTCGACATTTTACGTTAACCAAAAATATGGCTATGTTCTATATTTCTACATTTCATAAAAAATAACCGTAAATACAAATTTAAGCCATCTATGGCTACTTAGTACACACGATGAAAGTATTATTAAAAATTTAACTGTTTTTACAAGGTACATTACTACTTTTGACAGATATTCTCAAACGTTTTGTGCAAGTTGACCAATATTGTAACACAAATTAAATGTATCCTAATAAGTTTTTAAAATAATTATGTGAGCATGTTCGTCGACCACTAACTATGTACATAGGTGTTTTATGTATGCTGGCAATGTCATTAACATAGTAAATGAAATTAAAATTAGTGACCTATTAGCAACTTTATTTCGGAAACTATTTTCTATCTGTTTGTTTATAAAAATCCTTAAAGATAATAACGTTAAATGACTATAACGCTCAACAGTAAGGTGGCGAAATTTATGTGTCTCACATATACAGAAAAATTAAAAACTTAAAACGTTTCCAACTTTGATTTCGTAATAAACACTATAATGGCATTAAAATAATATGAAATTATATGAAATATGAAAAATTTGAAAGTTTACAAACATCACTTAATTATGTAGGCTCGGCAAACATAATATTATGTCACTGCCACAATTATACTTATTATTATAGTTTATAATTGCGGTTGTTGTAACTTTGTGAAACTTCAACTTTATTTTGGTTATTTGCATAAACACTTGTAGTTGTTCCACAATTTTTATTTAAAATTATTTATTTATTAATATTAAGCTCCTGAGCTGTGAGTTAAATTAATAATTTAATGTAAATGTTGTGAAACATGTACAAGTGTTTATCGAAATCACAAAAAATAAACTTATTAATTTTTCGTATACCAGTGTAAAATAGTTGTTAAATTGTGTTTTACATTATTTTTAAATATTTACAAATAGTTCAGTAATGTTTTATTAATATAAGGGCCTCAATTACTGTGTATTTTTGGTTGTATGTGTGAGACCTGTACGCAACATAGTTTTTTTTATTAAAAAAATGTGTTATAATAACATTGATAACATAGTTTAATTAAAATTGGCAACAGTTTGTGTTTATAATTTCATCTTAATTTAATCCTAAATCAATTTGAATTAACCTTAAAAAATGCAATGAAGTTCCTATCGAAATAAAGAATAATTTGTAGAAAATTATTGATATTGTTATCTTTGGTAATTTCTTTCAATCATTTTTACATTTGACTAACTTTTTTAAACTGACATTGTGCGCAAGTCTTTATATTTGGAGTTTATTTAGCGATGCTCTGACGATTTTGTTGGCTTTCTCTTTCTAACATCACATTACTTCATCATGTGCTTCAAGTGTTTTTATAACCGATTCGATTTCACTGACTGATTTTTATATTTTGTTGTTACTAACAAGCGTTCTGTGTGCTGTAACAAATTTCAAAACCAAGTAATATTTTTCTGAATTTTCTCAATCTTTGTCTATTATTTTCTTTCTTATGTCGTATTACATATAAGTATATTTTAGTTTAAAAAATTATAAATTTCTTTACCAGAATATTTTAATCTCTTAATAAAAAAGCAATGTTTTAAACAACATTTAAGATTATATTTCGGTTTTTTTAAACGTAGTAATTTTTTTTTGTCTTTTAAGATCTGTTAAACAATTTTTTTTTTCTGAATATCCCTTTATTCAAAAGAAGTAATGTTGGTAGTTCACTCTAAATTAAAAAAAAGTAAAGTAAAAGCGTAATCTCCGCTCCCAATTTGTAAACGCGAGCCGACAGGAATGTCAAGGACAGATGCTAAAGGCTAGGGGGTTCCCTAACCGGACTCCAGGAGCGTGCGGTGGTGGTACAGGGCGGCTACGTGTCGGGGCGCGCGCAGCAGCTGACGGTGAGCAAGCGCAGCAACGCGCTGGCCACGGGCCGCGAGCGCGAGAAGGAGCGCGAGCGCGACAAGGACCGCTCGGCGTCGCCCGCGCCGCGCCGCGACGACAGCCAGGCCGGCACGCCCGCCTCCGCCACGCCGCCGCCCGCGCCCGCGCTTAGCGCCATTGTAAGTACTGGTTTTTTTTTCTTTACTCATGGATACCTACGGTTGTACTTTTGCCAGTTTGCAAGTATTATGAAATTATCTTATATAAAAATTATTTATTTCTGTAATCATGGACTCGCATTGTAGTATTTTTGCCAGTATCAAGTATAGAGAAGTTGCATTAACTTTTTATTTTGCCACAAATTTATATATAAATGAAAATTATTTTTAATAATTCATTTAAAGCATATTTAAGATTTTTTTTTATTAATTATCCACTTTTTATTAATTAAAATAGTTAAGTTTTTGAATGAAAAAAAAACTACTTGTGATTGGTTGTGACGTCATTATATCCGTTAAGATTGTGAGCCAATCACAATCATGTTAACTTTTATAATTTAACTATACAAAATTGTACCACTTTTACGTATAAAAATATACTTCAAACCATTATTTAAACAATAATACAAGAGCAGCAATCCGCCGGCGATTAAGCTCCCATCAAAACACCCAAAAAATATTCCATAGTCAGTTCGTCAAAAGTAAAAAAGCGGGGTTCCTTAACTTATTACAAATTACGACCCGCTAAGTGTTTTGCAGATATATACAGTGGCATCGCTATGTAACTAAGGGCCGTAGGGCAAAAATAAAATTGGGGCCCTATTTAAACTAAACTAAAAAAAAATTATAGGTGCAAAACTACTTTATGATCAGCTTTTTATTATTGATCCATACCAGCCGAACGAATCTTTTTTTAGTCAATATAGATTATAAATAATACTTATTGAAAGTCACTCTTTTGTTTAATTACCACAAATTTGAAAAAAAAACCTTTGTCCTGGGAAGAACCAGCAAGAAACCCAGCGGGACTTTTTTTTTAAATAACAACTTACAATCATGTATATTACACAATTAACCACACAAAACAAATTACAAATAGCTTGGTAGCGATCACCTCATTGCCAGGGGTTATTATCATCCATAAATTCCTTAATATTATAATAACCCTTTTTACACAAACTTTGTTTAATAAGGTTTTTAAACTTTGAGCAGGTCAAATTTTGTATATTTTCTGGGATTTTGTTGTAAAAGCGTATACATCGCTCCAAGAATGAATTACTGACTCGGTGGAGTCGAGTAACTGGTACTTCTAGCTTGTGTCTGTTCTGTTCTGTTAAATTTTTGTCGCAGCGACTCTTTAGATTTTAAATCATAGATTGCTCTTATGGTCCTCTTCTGTAAATCAAATATAAATTCAGTGTCAGTCTCGTGTCCCATAACGAAATACCATAACACATTATGCTATGGAAAAAGCTAAAGTAAACAAGTCTGTTTCCACACTGGTAAGATTTCTAATCTTTTTTACAGCATATGCTACAGAACTAAGCTCCATTGAAGCTTCGCGTCTAGTGTTATTCCAAGAAAAATGGTGGTATTGACAAGACTCAGTTCCTCTCCATTTAAAATTACATTAGTATTTAATTGTGTGACATTTGGAGTCATAAATTTCATATATTTGGTTTTAGTGTCATTTAAATGCAAGTTAATTAAACAACATTAAACATTAAACCAATTTACTTCGTCATATTTTAATAATTATCATTATAATGTGAAAATTAATGAAGTGTCATCAGCAAATAATACTATATTATGTAATTTACTATAATATATACAAGAAAAAGAAAGAGGCCGAGAATTGAGCCTTGAGACACGCCCATTTGTACTATCGACCCGGAAGAGCTCATACTATTTATGACAACTTTTTGCGTTGTTACTTAAATATGAAACAATTAATTTAAGAGCATTACTTCTCACACCTTAGTGTTGTAGTTTCCTGATTAATGTTTTATGGTGAACACAGTCGAAGGCTTTGGATAGGTTACAAAATATACCCAAAGCATCCTGTGAATTCTCCCATGCATTGAAAATGTATTTAATCAGTTCTACACCAGCATCAGTTGTCGAGCGACCCCTTGTGGAACCGAATTGATTTTTATGAAGTAAACTATTTACATTAAAAAAAATTAACATTTTCCATTCCCCCTCCCTTTTCCACCATCGAACAACCAGGCGGTGGGTGGGTCCTTATCCCTTTGTTGTCTATATTCCACGCATACGAACCAAAATGTTTGCTACGTCTTACGTAATGCAGTGGCAAAGGAAAAGAGTGGAATAATTTTCCGGTGCCTGTTTTTCCACCCACAATTCTCAATATGCAATTATATATTTATTCTCAATATTTCTTCAATACACAATCTCAGTGTATTTAAGGCAAAAATGAATAACTTTTGTTACGCTAAGACAAAGCGATTTATAATCTAGTTAGGGTTACATCACCACTTACCACCACCAGTTACCACCTGACTGATAATAAGTAAAAAAAATTGTTATACGTGTCGCCCTTAACCTTTAAGCCGGCTAGTTATAACTTGTCTTTAAATTAGTAGCATTTATCGATAAACCAATTTCATATTATGTCAATAAAAATAAATCGATGCCACAGGCTTTTATTTCGTTCACGTGTTATACCTTATTTATCCCAACGCTAAAAGACATTTAAAATTCGTTTCAGGAGAAACAGCTGTCGGACCTCGTGGAGGAAATACGCAAACTGAAGTCCGTGATCGTGAAGCAAGAGAATCGCATCAGGGCGCTGGAAGCCGCGGCGAAGGCTGCGATGGCGCCGCCTCCGGAGCCCGAGCCGCAGGCCGAGCCGCAGCCGCACCACAACCACCGCAGCGCCGCCAGCCCCGCCTCCCCCGCCTCCCCCGCCCCCGACACCATGGCCCCCGACGAGGTCTGAGCTCTACACTTACTCTCCCACTCTTGTCTTGCAATCACTTAAAAATAGTCGTTTGATTGTTACCGCGTGAAAAATAACGAAAGTAAACTCTAAATTTGGAGTAGTTTATTTAATCTTTATTATTATTGAATAAAATTGTTACTTTTTATTACGGCATCCATAGTTACGGGTGCTGTAAAGCACAAGCTATGGAAACTAAGAATGAGCTAAAATTTTTACTTACTTTCAATAACCGTAGTTGTGGACGCTGTTTTGAAATAAGAAAAATTAAACAAGATAAAAAAATCTGTCAAACGCGTTAAAATCCGGAATATTAATTTAATGCTTTCGATTTGTTCACTTTCGTCGCTTTGGATAAAGGTACATATTCGTAACAATTATCCGGCTCGTTTATTCTGGCTGCAAGACAATCAACACTTGGCGTTCAACTGTCAACGGAACGTTTCAATTAATTTTGTTTTTTCGAACTTATGCAATTTTATCTTAATTATGAATTTATATTATCCCTAATGAAGTCATTAACGTAAGAAAATGTTTTATGTAGAAATAAATTAGATTGTATAAACAATGCAATAATGATATTATAATGCTAATGATCTAAATCTTAATCCAACAATGCTTTCATAAATGCAATAATTATGATCGGTATTTACCAAATAACGACTTAAAAGGTATTTCTTGCTAATAAGAAATCACCTCAATTAATTAAAAAGAATGTAAATTTAAAATACATTTATGACTGGTTTTAATATATTTAATCAGTCTTTCGTTTTTCGTTATATTTACTGTAACGTGACAGTAAGTGTGCAAACTTTCGACGATTTAAAATTAAACTACTTTTAATCGTCAGCTTTTCGAACCAATAATTTGTTCCAGAAACTCCATGCCCTCTATACATAAAAAAAAACTGATTAATGAAAAACGAAAGCTTTCTTGACCATTATAACTGGACATTTGTCACTATCACAAAGAACTATAACTATCGAAATGTTTAAAAATGCTGAAAATAACTTACGAGACTGTCAACTATTACTGACTTTATAACATATTTAACAGTGAACATTCATTCGAACCACCCGCCGACAGTTGTTCGGAGAAACTTTTATTTCAGTGTTTCACTTTGCGGATTTAAAGTCAAAATATGATACCTAGATTTTTGACTTTCTATGACGAATAAAAAGCTTCTTATTATAAAGACAAAGCTTAATGGAAACACTTGGTGTCTTCATTGATTCGTTTGGTCTATGGTTCACAATTATTTTTCAAAGATATGCAAACAGAGTTTTAAGTACATTAAAGCTCCATATTTTGGTTTTTGATAGTAAAACCATATATATTGAAAATTAATACATTTTTTGATAACCCCCGTATAATTTATTATGACAATATCTATAAAAATAAGAGCAATTTTGATGTGTTGGTTTTTACTCTTCGTCGCTAGTGGCTGTCACGACATATTTACTTTTTTATACAATTTTATATTAAAAAAAATCAAATGTCCAATTCTGCAAATAAATCGTGTAATTTGAATCGAATTCCATTTTTGCCATATACATGAAACTAATTTTTACTTTTTTTTTTATACTTACAAGGATGAATAGTTGAACATACATTAGACTTCAAAATACAGGGATTTAAACCTTAATTATAAGTGCAATTTCGTGGCAGCCCTTTGCGATGATAATTTTAGATTTTATACATTAGTTTTTGTAAATAGTTATTATATAGTCAGAGTGATATGCGGATTGTAACAATGTGCCTTAATTTAATTGCCGCTCTAAGTAATATTACGTATTTATGAGAACGATTTTAGATAATTGACGTTATTTCCTCTAAAAAGGTCTATTTTACAAAACACTTATTGTGGATGAGGACGCTATTTGACGATTCATTACTGCAAACACGCACGCGACGCTCGCGATGTCACAAAATTTTGAAAAGTGTTTGTTATAATTTGGTGATGTATATTTTTGCATTTAGTTTTTTTCATTTTTAGGAAGTTAATAAAACGTGCTATTTATTCTCCTTTATGTTAATTGTCAAAAACATTAGTCAAGCTCATAATGTGCTATTATATGCTTTATTTAATCTATTGTATATTATAATAACAGTTTGTATCTCTCACCACATAGATGTAAAGATTCAATAACAATATAAAGTTAACCGAACTGGCCAATGTCAAGAAATGGTGATTTTATTGTGTGTGGAGTAGTGTACAATACTAAGATGGCTTATGCAAACGCTAAATTCAGTTATTAAATCTGTAGAAAATATTAACAAGGCTCAATAAATACAAATTTTATGATATTATTGTTTTAGAAAGTCTTGTGTCATATTTTAATGAAATAGTGCGTTATTTGATAGATTAGATTTATATGTAGCACCTTGTAATGGCTACATGAGGTGTACTACCATCTGCAAGTTCTATCCAATCTCCGTTCTTCATTTGTTAAAGAAAATGTATATTCAAATAGATTAAATTTGTTTCATTAATAATGAATTTAATATATCTCAGATATTAGCAATTACATAGAGACCAACAAAGAGGACGGAGCAAGTGACGCCAAAACCAAACCAAAACCATTTTCAACTTCTTGTACGAACACGCATTCACGCACACATATCCATCTATATCATTTGTAACCACCGACATGGTTTTAGGTGCATATGTGTGCGTCTAGCAGTGGACTTTTAAAGGGCGTTTAAGAAAGGAAGAAGAAACGTGTGTGCGAGTGCGTGTCAAGAAGTTGAACATAGTTTTGGCATCACTGGAAGTGAGCTCTGCTCATTCTATCTTTATGAGTTGGTCTGTAGTAACATATAAATCAAACATAAAAGAGTTCGGTAACTTGGTGCTTTTTATTTAGCGGTAAGGCGTTATGCTTCTAAACTTTTGCTGGCTCAATGCATTATTGTAATTATTTCTGTATAGTTTTTGTAAGTGTACTATTTAGTTTTCTTCACATCTATAACTAAACTTTAACACTGATATACTTTATCTTTTATCTGACATTGTATTTTATTAACGTGGTAACGCTATTGTGCCGACACGAACTGCGGTTAGACGTATTATAATTAATTATTTTTTTCATAAGTGTGCAACAATAGTGGCTATTAACACTTCAGTCTTGCGGACTGGTATCTCAGTCTAGCAGCGAACTTTTGACAACTAGTCAAGTCATATATTATTTGACATTTGACAGACGTTATGCCGTCTCTCACAAGATGGCAAGTATTATAGTTTAAATTATAGTATTATTATGAAGATTATGATTTTTTTTCTAATTTTAAGATGGCGTAATTTTAGATGTTCTATTTTTAAGGTCATGACAAGGCAATGTATGATTTATTGTATGTATATTGTATATGCTTGTTTTATGCTGGTTTCACACATTGTGTCAATATGAGATTAAAAATATAACATTAACATAAAATAATCTGCATCGGCAATTGATTTAAAACGTCATAGAATTCAATGAGATGTTTTTGAAAGTTTGAAATATAATGTTTACATATTGGACCCAGTGTGTGCAGAGACAGCAACTTAGAAGGGTTTTGTATAAATTATTTTTTCGTTTTTCTTTGTATGTGAAGCTTCAGTTTTGTATTATGTTTTAACTATTATGTTTTCGTAGGACTTTTAACAATTTATGATGTAATGAGCAGGAAATAACGAGCTGTATTATTATGTACTTATTGTAAAACACTTGAGGACATCTATGCGTGTTTAATGAACCCAATATATACGAAGTGATATTTTATTAGGTGTCAAAATATCTGTCAAATGTAGCTTATTAAAAAATTGTTTGCAGTTGTATTGCAATTCAAAATATTAAATTTGAAACAGTGCCTTAAGAAGTCTTATATATCATGGTTTATATAGGATGGTTTTAAATGTAATTTTATAATATATAACATTATTTTAAAAATGTCGAATTATACATCGAAAATTTAGCAAAATTTATACTAATATTTATTTATGTTTTCATAAGTGCATTCGTTTTATTTAAGAATAATATGCAAAAATGTAAAATTGTTTAAAATTAATTTATTACACGTATTTCCAAAGAATGATACAGCAAAGCTTTCGAAATATTCGAAAGGTGATTTTGCGCTTAATAAAATTTCACACTATTAATTAGGAAAACTTTTAACTTTTGGATAGGGAAAAAGCAAAAGGAAAACTTTTTTTAATAAAAATACGAACGCAGCTATCCAAGCGAACGATTTCTGTCAATTGTATACTCTTTTTGTTTATAAAAAAATTAGAATCAATGTGAAAATAGTAAAATATAAACGCACAATAATTTGATAGGACACACCTTAGGTGCTAGTTTGAAGGTGAGTGCCAAAACTGCATAGTGATTTATATAAAAACCTGCCAAAACTCTTCATGAGCAATCGGAATTTATTAGAACTGAAAATCGACAATATTCTTTTAGGTTATAAGTGCCTTGTTGTTAGGTATTGAATACTCAGATCAAATGTTGCAAATACGAACGTTGATACAGAAATAAATGTCTATTTTACTATTTTCATTGGTAGTATTATTTTTAACCTGCATCTTCGAATTATTTTATTTCTCAGCTCTCACGATATTTTCATTCACCGCTGAGTACGAAGTAAATCGGCACTAAAAATTGCAATTGATAGTTTCGTTTATGACGGTGGTAATCGAATCCTTATTGCTCGTGCACTGTGAAACTTACAGCGGGCGTTTCTCCCCTGAGCCAACATTCGTCGTCGATTTTTTTTTATAGGATAAGTGTGACAAACGAGCACACAGTCCACCTGATGGTAAGTGGTTGCTGCGGCCCATAGACATCTACATCTATCCTCCATTACAAATCAAAATGCAGATGCGTTGTCACCCGCGAGGACTAAGATGGAATGCCTCGTTTCCAGTAAAAAGGGCCACCTGCACTCACCAAGCGAAACGCAGAGGTAAACCTCTACTTCACGCTGGTATTCTGTGAGGTCGTGGTACCACCCCGGTTCGAGCCGGCCCATCCGTGCGACAGCAAAAGCCGCCACGTGGCTCTACCACTGTTGATTTTATAAATTAATTAATAGATTTAATAAGTTGTTTTAAGAAGTATACCTTGAAAATGAATCGTAGTTTTGGGGGTGTGGTTTAGCCCTTTGTCGGTGAAGTTCACGGACGACTGAGGGAGTGCCAAATTAAAGAGATGCAATTACTTCATGTACGCAAATTATGACATAGCTATACCGAGCTCGAGCTCGAAATTAGCTACGTAATCGCCAAACAACATTTTTTTTAGCATAACTTCGTTATGGATTAAGAAATGGTTTATGTGGACTTGATACGATTATTTACTATGCTTTAAAAACAATTCCATGAACTTATTCGTTAAAATATTGTGGTGGCATGGAGAAATGTTACTAATTAGAGCTTACTTTACAATTTTTTCTATCGATAAAATTACATCATAATATCGTGTTTTCCTTTTATAAAATCGGGTTATTCCGTTTATCCACCCTAGAGTGAATATTCGGAAACGCGTGTTCATCGATCCACTTCACACCAGACGGGGTGGACAATCGGAATTCGTATATATTATTAATCTTCAGATTTTCTCCCTTGGCCTTGTAGTCATTTATAGAAACATGATAAAAACTGGCCCAAGAAACTAAGTAGACCAATAAAAATATACACATACTTCTTGTTTGAAAGGTCAACGCTGAAATAAAAGTAGTGGATAACTCACAGGATTACAGATTGATTGGAATCTTGGGATAAAATAATTTAAAATGAAATTAAAAATAATTTAAAATTAAAAATTTTGTACAGCCGACTTCAATATAAGTTATTTAAGAATAACTTAAAAACTATTGGTCTGACCTTGATCAAATTCATATGGGACCACACGAGAAGTACCAGCTTTCAAATAAAAAAAGAATCATCGAAATCGGTTCACCGTACCGGCTCCTTTTTGGAAGTCGGCAGACAAACATCCGATAGTAACGTTTTTGGAATGCTTCCACAAAACCCCCAGTTCATCGCTAACACATCTGTTATAGAAAATAAATTTAGAAAACGAATAAAAATGTACATTAAAAGTGACGAATTTATCCAGGATATCAAATTACGTCTACTTGATAATAAAATTAGTGTTGTCTGGACATATTGCAGAATTAACAAACTACTAGGAAGTTTAATACAATACGTAATGCATGGACTTTAATATGCTGTAACGGTGATAGTAACGGCAATACGTTATATATTTTTGGATTATGTTTATGGGTATTAAAAATTAATTAATAATTAAGGTGTATGTCAAGACATACACTTGGGGTGAAAAGTCGGAAGAACAAATAAAAGTGAATTCCGATTATCCACCTCGTCTGGGGTGGATTGATGAACACGCGTTTCCGAGTATCCACCCTAGGATGGATAAACGGAATAACCCATGCAATCGAAGGTCATATAGTTAAAAAATCGTAATATATAAAACTAAAAGAAATATGTGAAATAGAAAAATCACCAACGAGGCCTTAACTACGAACGATTGAATAAAACTTTTTTACGGATTTTATCGCGTTTAATTTACTTTTTTTACTAATGTAAGTTAAATTAAAAGTTATTAAATTTGTAAAATTCTTTTTATTCACTTTCCAGTATTCGTGTATAAACAATCATTAAACGAGCGATTCTTTGCTATCGCTCGTCACAAGTGACTGTTGTTAGTGTAAAGTGCAGTAGCAGTTGAGCTTCCGTTATTTTGTGAATTTAATTTTTCTTTGCAGAAATGAACTTATTTATCGAGCTCTTAACAGAAATATTATTTCAGTTTTTCATTCTAATTTTAGTTATCGTTATTGATAATTAAAAAAATATATATTTTTGTTGTACGACGTTTTAATTTCGTCGGTCGTCTATTAAATAGACGGCAGACTCAAGTCGACTCTGAAAGAATTACATAGGCTGCACTAAAAGTATCGGGAATGGAATATTTCCACTGTTCCTGTCATATTAAATTTTAATTAATAATTATTAATTTTTAATTGAAAAGTCCTTGGTTTTTTTAAATTAAATACCATTTATTTATTTAAAAAAAGATTCTCGGTCTTGTCACAAGGTTTTGTGAAACTTGTTTAGTCGTTGAGAAAATGGAATTGACTCGAGAAAATTCAAGAGCGATGATTTATTATGACTCGAAGTGGTTTAACACAAAAACAGTGTCTTGACCGGATGATTTCTGCATTTGGTGATGAAGACCCATCCAAAACCACAATTTATCGCTGGTTTGCTGAATTTCAACGTGGACGTGTCAATCTCAGTGATGATCCCCGTCAAGGTCGTCCAAAAACTGCAGTCACCCAAGAAAACGTTGATGCTGTGCGTAAGCTGATTGAGGAAGATCGACATGTGACATACCGCGAAATTCAGGCAACTTTAGACATTGGCATGAGTCAAATACAAATAATCTTGCATGAACAATTAGGTGTAAAAAAGTTGTTTTCCCGATGGATACCGCATTTACTCTGTAAAGAGCAAAAAGCGGCTCGCGTTACTTGGTGCGTCAGAACTCTCGAAAGATTCCACGCAGGATCCTCAAATGCTGTATACAACATCGTATCAGGTGACGAATCCTGGATATACCCGTACGAACCCGAAACAAAAAACCAGTCACGAGTTTGGGTGTTCGAAAATGAGTTAAAGCCAACAAAAATTGTTTGTTCACAGAGTGTTGTAAAAAAAATGGTGGCCACGTTTGTCTCCAAAACCGGCCATGTTACGACTATTCCTCTTGAGGGACAAAGAACGGTTAATGCAGAATGGTATGCTGGCATTTGTTTGCCACAGGTCGTTTCTGAACTCCGTAAAGAGAACTGCAACCGCCGCATCATCCTCCATCACGACAATGCAAGTTCTCACACCGCACACAGAACAAAAGTTTTTAGAGCAAGAAAACATAGAATTATTAGACCATCCGCCGTACAGCCCCGACCTAAGCCCTAATGATTTCTATACTTTCCCTAAAATAAAGAATAAATTGCGTACACAGAGATTTTCATCACCTGAAGAAGCTGTGGACGCCTACAAAACGGCCATTTTGGAGACCCCAACTTCCGAATGGAATAGTTGCTTCAATGATTGGTTCCATCGTATGGAAAAAGGTGTCGAATTTCGCGGAGAATACTTCGAAAAACAATGAATACATTTTTAAATAGTGATGTTGTGTCACTTCCTTGATTCCCGAAATTTTCAGTGCCGCCCTCGTATATGTAATAAGATTACTACAAGCAGTTTTTTGCAGACGTCATATTTATAAATCGTAAGTATTTCTGTAAGAGATTCAAACATTGTTGAATTTAGTTATATATGGGTTATATACAGCTACATATTACAAGCTAGTGATACCAGTTTCTCGACTCCACAGAGTCAGTAATTCATTCTTGGGGCAATGTATACGCTATTACAACAAGGTCCCGGAAAGTGTACAGGCTCTCTCTAATAGCAAGTTTAAATGTTTTGTTAAGTTGAAACTGTATAAAAAGGGTTATTATAGTATAAATGAATACATGGTTGATAATAACCCCTGGGAATGAGGTGATCACTTCCAAGCTGTTTCTAAAATAAATTTTGTACTTATATAGTTTGTACAACCATTATTGTAAAATTTGCTTTAAAAAAAAGTCCCGCTGGGTTTCTTGCTGGTTCTTCCCAAGACAGAGGCGTTTTTTCGAACCAGTGGTAAAGTAAAAAATAACTCGATAAGAATTACACATGCGATCTATATTGAATAAAAAATTATTCTATTCTATACATATATATGACAACTATTGGATGTTTGCCTGCAATTCATGGCAAACATCCAATATTTGTCACCCATTTGCATTCATTCATGAGTCATGTCACACTTATGTTGGTAGTAAATATTGGGTACACTACGCTCGCAGTTGTTGCCGAGTATGTTTGTTTACGCAGAACAAATTGTCTGACTATAACTGAAAGGTTAATCGAAGGGCAGCGTTCGGTATATTACGTCACATCTCGTCACGGAAGTGTATACAGTCTAGTGTGTGATGAGTCATCACACACTAGACACATTGATCTGAAACGTAGTTTTTTACTGCTGCGCGTTTGAGGAAGTTTAAGGACGTTTAGTGAGCTATGGAGAGGGCTAGGCTCGGAATTTTTGTGATAGACTTCGCATTGAGGATATCTGCAGGACCAGAGTAATCAACATAACCCTACGGCTTAATAAGCCACAGAGTACCTTCATATACATCGAAAGTGTTAGGCCGAAGTGGCATTGCGCTGGCCTTATTGCTCGACAAAGCTACAACCGATAGTGAAGAAAGGTTTCGAATGGCAGCTTTCATTTCATACCATAGATAAATATGTAGTAAGCTATTCGATACCGGTAAGAGAAGTTTAGTCTGTATTTTTTTTATCTCTGAGACTAAATTGACACATGCAAATGTCAAACATACAAATAATGTTGCCAGCGCTTTTGTGAAGTGTTGTACCAACGATACCGGTTTGTTGACTCGTATCTTTATTAAACAATTTATAGGGCGGTCCCCACGAGATGGAAGTGACGATGTAGTAAGTCGGTAAATGCTCGAAACTGTGTTTTGTGGCATTCCTTGGGGGATGATGATAAAATTTTATTTTAGGGCTACAAAGTTTTTAATATTGAAAATATTATATCGCAGATATTATGTAGATAAGATATCAAATAATATCAATAAAAATATTACTGATACACAAAATAAACTTTATTTATCTGTGTCAAATGCTTCATCAAACTGTTCTTTAGTAATTTTTCGTTTCTTTAACTTTTTTATAAGGGCTACATCTGCTGCTAATTCATCCAGCTCTTCTTGTGTGACGGTCCGTCGCTTCTTACTTCTCTTTCCTTCTGCATTCTTCTGAAATTCTTTTCTTTTCCTCTTTCGCTGTTTCCTTTCTTCTTTGTTTTGCTTGGTTTGCTGCCATGGTTGCGATTGAACCTAAAAAAAAATATTATTATAGCCACAGAGGTTGATGACACGTGTAAAAGTAATGTTATTTTTTATGCTTTTTTCACTTGTTTAGACCTAATTAAGTTTAGTTGACATCAAACATCAGTTACAAAAGGAAGAATACTTATTTTTAGAGGGTAGCTACGTGTTTTTCTACGTGTTTTCTTGGAAATTGAGAGTAAGCGAATTTTTATGCAGAGATTACAAACCTTCTGTAGTATTTATTGTTTTATAAAAAATCATTTATATAAGTAGGTACAGCTAAATCACCCTGGAAAACCTTGGTTTTTATTAAATTAAATTTTCATCTAATAATAACATTTGTAAATATCAAACAATAAGAACCTTATTTTAGAAAAAAATAAGGTTTGTGATTCATTAATATTTACAAATGTTAAATATTATTTAATGTTATGTAAATGTAAAAGTAAAGTCGATCTGAAACCGTCTAATTGGTAAGAATAGCAAAACAAGTGTTTTCAAAAGGAAAAAAGAACACCGGCGCTGTATGGCGGCGGATTGACAAAAGACTATTTATTAGCGAACTTTTTTATGCATGAACGGTTTCGAACTGTTTCAAGCAAAAATAAACCTTATTTTAAACCTTATTCGGCCATATGATAGTAATAAGACGGCAGTTCAACCATTTTAAGCAAAATTAAACAATAAGACAAACGCATTGTTTTTTTTTTTTAACAGGAGACTTGTTTTCCAGAAACTTGTTTTCAACTTGAATTTGTGAGCGATTGCAATGAGTGCTATTATTTGTTACTTATTAGACTATTTTTCCACAACATGATTTTAAAAACCCACAAAGTACAATGAGTACCATGTACAAGTTAAAAAAAGGTTGTCAACCTCTAAAAATTTCAAATTTTAAAATATCCAGAAACGAAGCTGTTGGGATGAACTACTTGCAAAATAATGAATATTTTGTTCTGGATAAATCTTCCAAAAACCGGTTCAGTGTGGATGGCACGCCTGGCGGTCCATTCTCTCCAAGGCCAAGGTTGGCAACTGCAGTTTTTTTTATGGAGTTGCTTTCAAAGAGATGCTGCTACCCACATCCTATTTTATCAACACACTTTATGATTGTTAGTACAAGTTCTGGTTATGAATGTTACTCAGCAGATTTTGAATGCTCGGGTAATAAAGCAAACTGAATCTATGCAATGGAGGGTGAAGATATTATTTCATGCAGAGAAAACAATGACAATGAAGACGTTCAAAATCCTATCAAAAATGAGAGCAGACCATTGTCCAGCGGTGGGACGTATACAGAGCTATTTTTCAAAGAGTAGCCAAATTTTAAACTTAAATTAAATATATAAATAATGATATAACGTTATTGAAGTTTTTAAAAATACAAATAAATTAGGCTTCTATTTTTATTTGAAATTATTCCAAATTGAATGTGATTTATGGGCAACAACTACGCGTACGCGCGCTCCTCTGTGTGCGATTCAATTCACAACGTATTTGCCCACCGATCGACCCTTACGGATGTTTGCGTGCGTAGTAAAACACTAGACTTTGACGAAATTTATATGGGTCCACATGAGAAGCACCAGCTTTCAAATAAAAAAGAATTATCGAAATCGGTACACCTAGAAAAAAGTTATAAGGTGACACACAAAAAAGAACATACAGTAGAACTGTGTACCTCCTCCTTTTTGAATTCGGTAGAAAAAATACAGAAATCGCTTGCTTATCCGAGTAAAAGTAAAACACATTCTCATACCATCTTCTTTTTCTTCTTAGTAGGCCAAACGCCAGTGTTCTTGTACTCTTCTAGCTTTTGTAATCGACTGGCTTCTTTCTGCTTATCCTTATATGGTATTGCATTGAAATCTATTTGGTCTTTCGGTCCGATAAACTGTTTTTTATGTTCTTCTTTAATTTCGGGCATGAGCGGTAGCTTTAGGAGACCATAGCTGGTAGCTATATGTCCCAATGGTAACTCTTTAAGTTGCAGTAAGAGGTTGCATTCGTGTTTGGAATATGCTTGTATGTGGGAGACGAATGCGCGCTGCCCTTTATCTAATACAGCTCTATCCTTTTTCTGCTGATCATGGAGAATCGTTAATACCTGTAAAACAGCAATCAATAGGAATAAACTAGATAGTTTGTCTAACGACTGCATGATAATATTTGTAAATGATTGACTCTAAAAAAAAAGAAGGAAGAGTAATGAATGCCTCCTTCCATCTTGGTCTTCTTTAATTGAAGAAATCATCAGGTAATGGTGGACTTTGACCGAGAAAGTCATTGGGGAGATCTCCGGCCGGACATGGTGTTCAGCCCAGGGAGCGACCAACACTCCGTGTAGTCTGCAGTGAATCGAGAAGAAAGCAAGTAATCTGCGAGAGTGCCGTGAAGCAGAGGCGAGAAGTAAGGCTCAGAGCCATGCCGAACACTGTAGTACAGGGAGTAGCTTGAAGGAACATGAAGCGTTGTTTCAGTGTTGCCATTAACCTTGCAAAGCCTGAAACTCCTCGGGAGTTTGGATGGGGTACCTGAGAAGGATGAACGCTTCAAGTTGAGATTTCCGAAGAGGTTCCATGTTGCGTGTGTTCACATCACGTCGGGGTCACCACTTTGGCCGGGAAAGGAATTGGGGAGATCTCCTGCCGGGCAACGTGTTCAGCCCGAGGAACGGTCAACGCTCCGTGTTAGTACAAAGCTGTTCTATATATAGCAGAGTACCTCGGAACTTTGAAACTTTTTTTTGGACAATACTACTACTATTATATTCTACTATTTCTATACTTAAAATAAAGGGTCAGGGGTCATGGCTATGGGTTACTTACTCTTACTTGGTTTTTGTGGCATTACTTCAGGGTAGCGTTCAGCTCTGTTCAACAGTACTTGTGAAAGGCTGTTATGTTGGTGCCAACCTCTGTTTACAATTATAAACCACTGTATTGTGAAAATAGAGATTTTTTTTATAAGATAGGATGACAACCGAGCACACATTCCACCTAATGGTAAGTGGTTGCTGTGACCCATAGCCATCCACATCTATCCTCAATAAAGAATCGAAAATGCAGATGCGTTGTCACCCGTGAGGACTAAGATGGAAAGCCTCTGTAAAAAGGGTCTCCGGTTCTCTACATTCACCATTCGAAACACAGCAGCGTTAAGCCGTCATTTTACGCTGGTATTCTGTGAGAGTGTGGTCCTTCCCCGGTCGAGCCGACCCATTCGTGCTACAACTATACTACTAATGTAGCTGGCAGCATGGCTCTACCACGTCACAAATTATAAGTATTTTGGCAAATTGCTTTCACAAACACCACACACAGGGGCCCCATAGCACAAGTATTAATATTAGTTAATAGGTTCGTCCCAATCTCTATTTACAATTATAAGCCACTGTGTTTTGAAAATAAAGATTTTTTATTTTATTTTAATGATGATAATCCTTACGTCATCAGATTGTAATATAAGCGATTGAAACATATCTAACATCTTACCTTATCCCTTAATTTTTGGCTAATCTTTATCTCATCGGATGACTTCCTCCAATCTTTAAGTTCTACCTTCTGGTTGGTCTTGATAAAGGGCACATATGTATCTTCAGAAGGTAGTAGTGGTAATAAAGAAAATCCTCGGGCTCCACCTCGAGCAGTGCGTCCCACGCGGTGTACTAACGCTGCGGGACTGGTAGGGGGTTCCCATTGAACTACCCATTCCACTTCTGGGATATCAAGACCTCTGAAAACAAAAATTTTATAAGCGACTGATAGCATAAGTAAAAGAGCTCCAAGTGACATTTTTTTTTCTTATATGAGGTATCACCAGTTTTTTAGTGTGCGTGTGTAATGAATAAGTACGCGCGAGCGTGCTTGCGTGCTAGCGTACCTGCAAGATAGTATACTGTCAGCGTTCGTCCTGTGCGCAAATCGGTGTATATTCGTAGTATTAAGAAGAAAATTATGAAGTGTTGTGTTTTATCGTGTGAAACTACTCAGATAGACGTTCTGATCTTATGGATGGCATCATATTTCATTTGTAAGTAATTTTATACCTAATTTATTAAAATATTTCTACAAAAATCTCTGCGTCGGCTTTCAAATATAGTAAAATATATTCGACACTAGATGACGACACTTGGTGTCATGGGAACTAAAAATAATAAAGGTGACGTAGGGCTCAGTTCTGGTAAAATAACGAAGGTGCTGAAATTTGTTCATTGCAACATCGATATGGAACGATGCGAGTAGTTTTACTATTTATCGGTAGATGGAAACTAGTTAAGTGGGCTGGGCTTAACACCCCCTTACCCCACAAATTGTCACGCGTTGTTACATAGTAAAATCTAATTACAACACCTCCTCTTTGTATTTGCTCCGTGGCTACAGTATTCACTTATCATCAGGTACTCTGTGTGCACGTTTGTTACTCTTATTCTATATTTAAAAAAAAAGCTATGGACACCAAACATTTTTCCGCAACGTTATATTACTTTTGTTTATACTTACTACTCTCATGGAAAATCTTATCTATACAAATAAATAATATTGAAGTGTCTGTTTGTAATGTCAAAATTACAGCTTTTTACTAATTCCATATGAAAGTATATACGGTACTTATAACAAAAACACAATATTAAAATTTTTTGTCTGTCTGTCTGTTTGTTCCGGCTAATCTCCGAAACGGCTGGACCGATTTTGACGGAAATTTCACTGCCAGGTAGCTGATTTCATAAGGAGTAACTTAGGCTACTTTTATGTTAGAAAAATAATTAGGGCACCGCGCAAAAACATAAAAACCCTAACACGCGAGCGAAGTCGCAGGGAACAGTTATTAGTAAATAGACATTTAATAGTAAATACTCAGTAAGCATGGCAACTATGACAAAAATCCCCCCCAGTGCGACAATTTACGCGGGAAGTCTTAGTTCGGCAGTGGACTCTTGATAGGCTTAAAGAAAGAAAGAACAAGATGTTGAATATCTTTATTATTATTTTTACACTAGCTGATACCCGCGACTTCGTCCGCGTTGCTTGATATATTAACGAAGTTTTCGTATGTGCGAAGGCAAAAAAACATCGGAAGCAAAAATATACTTTGCTTACAAAATTGATTTGTAAACAATGTTATTTGTTGCTCCGTTTGTAGCTAAAATATATAAATTATCTGGGTTAGTAACGCGAGAGCAAATCGACGTACAGTTGACCGTGTGAACAAAAACCCCGTATTAAAATCGTTCTTTCTCAAAACTTTAATAACTTTATATTAAATTAAGATATCACAATATTTTTTTTTTTTTTAGATAAGGACCAAGTGTCTAAGAAACAAAACTTACAAAACCTATTAAAATCTATCCCGTGGTTTTTCCGTGATGCGCGCACAACTGCAAACCTCTATCATTTTATTTATATAGATTAAAGATTAATTTATTTTAATAACTCACCTGGCCAATAAATCGGTGCATAACAAAATAGTATTGTCAGCCTCTCGGAAACTCTCCAATATTTTATTTCTCTTTTGTTTCATTTTACCATGTATTGCAAAAATCTTTATATCTGATAAGAACACTGGCAAAACATCTGCCCAATAATCAACACAAGCACATGTTGGTAAAAAAAACAATCCCTTTAAAATCCTGCGATTTCTTATAAAGTTTAGCAGGAATAAGAATTTATCTTGGGGCTCAACTATGACGTAGTAGTTTTCTAGGGCTAATGGAGTACTTATTGTAGATTTTTCTTTTACACTAATAAGGACAGGGTTTCTCAAACCAGCCCTAACAAGGTCCTGTAATTCTTTCGTTTGTGTTGCAGAGAACAGCCCAGTACGCCTCTGTCTAGGCAAGTACTGAAGTATTGTGGTAAGTGTAGCACTAAAACCAAGATCTAGCAGACGGTCAGCTTCATCCAGAACTAAAAATTCCTGAAAAAAATTCTTTTATAATTTTAAAAGTGCTTAGATTAATGATAGGTCTTCGCGCGCTCAGACTAGATACCGCCGGCGCTCATGTAAAATGCGGCAACAAATACTACGCCGAAATCGGCGTACCCGAGCCAGTCACGTTGCAGGCAACATGTGAGGTGAACGTACCGAATGTTTTATTAAATTTTGATCATAATCCGAAGTAAAATACCAGTTTACGTATAGAAACTGTGTAAAAATAATACTACAAGAAATAAGAAAGACACTGGAATCACATACTATCATTAAGTATAATACAATTTCGAAATTTTAACATAAAATAACACGAGCCATAAATAAGTCACAAAATATCAATGACGCTATTCAGTGTTGCCGCGAATGCAAAAATGAAGTTCCCCGTGGCTGAGATTTTTATATGTGAATTTACTGTTACTATATTTTATAATATAATATATTTAACTTATTATAATATAACCTAATTCTATATTATTTAATGTTTATTATTGTAGTATTGCTCAAATGACATAATTGCCGTTTATTAGGGTTCCGTACCCAAAGAGTATCAACGGGACCCAAGTCTCCACTATCGTTCCGTCTGTCTGTCAGTAGGCTATATCTTATGAACCATAATATGTAGAATTTTCACAGAATGTATATTTATATTGCTGCTATAACAACATGTATATGTCTATGGGCCACAGCAACCACTTACCATCAGGTGGACTGAGTCCTCGTTTGTCACCCTGATCCTACAAGTAATATCTCAATATCAGTAATTATTCCATACAAAATTTCGTACAAACTTGCTCAAAATGTATGTAAGACCTGATTTTTCTTGCGATTTTGAAGATAGATCTATAGTAAAAGTTGTTCATATTGATGCGTAGAATAGAAAAAAAAAGCATGATTTTGGTTACACCACATAATATATAACTATTTTTTAAAATAATTTGTGAATATTAGTCAGACATTTAAGTATAAAAATTAAACTTCTATTCTAGAATATAATAATTTTTATTCAATAAACATTACATGTGTAATTCTTATTGAAAGTCATTTTTTACTTTACCACTGTTCGAAACAAAAACCCTCTGTCCTGGGAAGAACCAGCAAGAAACCCAGCGGGACTTTTTTTTAAATAAATTTTACAATATAAATTATTACGAACTATTTATAAAATTTATTTTAAAAACCGCTTGGAAGCGACCACCTCATTCCCAGGGGTTATTATCAACCATGTATTCATTTATACTATAATAACCCTTTTTATAAGGTTTCAGCTTAATAAAACATTTGAACTTGGTAATAGAAAGAACCTGTACACTTTCCGGGACCTTGTTGTAATAGCGTATACATTGCCCTAAGAATAAATTAGTGACTCTGTGGAGTCGAGATACTGGCATCACTAGCTTATGTTTGTTTACAGAATGTATATCACTTTTTACTAAAACTATCTTTGTTTTTGTGAACATACATTAAATTTTCGTAAATATACTGAGAGGCCAAAGTTAATATATTTAACTAATCTAGCTGTCTCGACACTAGTGAGACCTCAAATCTTTTTTACGGCATAGGCTGCAGAACTTAGTCTGCTTGCTAATTTGGATATATGGGGGCCCCACTGAAGCTTCGCGTCAAGAGTGATGCCAAGAAAAACAGTGGATACAACAGGGCTCAATTCCTCCCCATTTAAAAACACATTGGTATTCAGATTTTTAACATTCGTTGTTGTAAATTTAACACGTTTAAGTTTTATTTCCGTTCAAATACAGATTATTAACGTTAAACCAATGCACTAATTTTGATATAGCATTATTCACTTCGTCACATTTAAATGATTGACGTTTAAGTTTAAAAATCAAGGAAGTATCATCAGCAAATAATACTATATCATGACTATCCCCTACAAGGTGAGGTAAGTCATTATGTTTAGGCCTAATAAAACATTTAAAAACTTGCATTCATTACGCGTGTCACGGCGTGTCCAGCCCGATGGTATGTAGATGACGTAAACGCCGCCGGGGGGCGGCCGTGTACCGCTTCCCGGAATTGGACCGCGTGGGCCGGCGACAGTGTCTTGAACGCCGCGGCCTTGTCGACTAGTATGGTCTGCGACCGCTTGTTGGTTGCGCGCGGCCGGTGTTGATTAGAAGGTCTAGAGTTTGCACGCGGAGCCGCCTCTGAACAGTTAAACTTGAAGTTGTCTAATCTCGTGTGTTTTGCTTGGCAACGAGGCTGGTCTTATATAATTCTTTTGTAATAGTTTTCAGTTCCTTGGGCGCGGCCCGTGTGGCTAATAGTGCGCATCGCATGCTGCTCAATGATTTTGTCTAATTTGTACGTTTCGTGACAAGAGACTTGTATTAAGTTTGATTGCCATTAATTTGCGCCGACGGGTTGTTGTTTGTGTGGCATTTTAATATCGTACGAAGGAATTTTGCTTTGTCGGGAGTACGCTAAAATTTGTGACTCGAGAGGAGATCGCGTGTGCTCGATTATAATTTGTTGCTAAGTGAACATGGACATTGAACCTTTGACCGAACGTTCTTTAGCTGTGCCGTGTGTCACTTGTTTGATTTCGATTAACGTCGCTTTGGTTGAATTTGAAGTTAATTAACTGTACAATAAAGTTTATAAACTAATATAGTGAAAATAAAAACAGAAGTTTTCAATTGGTGAACGCCCACTGGAGGGATCGCACATTTGGAGAAAAGCAGCGACTGTGGATCTGCTGTCCGACTGCATCGGTGACGTCAGGTGACATTTATACACACTTTCACACACTACTTAAATGCACCTCACTTACCACCTGACTGGTACCCTGTGGTCAACCCTACCTCCGGAACTCGGTAAGTTTGTTTGCTTTTTTTACAGGATAAGGGTGACAAACGAGCACACAGTCCACCTGATGGTAAGTGGTTGCTGCGGCCCATAGACATCTACATTATCCTCTATTACAAATCAAAATGTAGAGGCGTGGTCACCCGTGAGGACTAAGATGGAATGCCTTATTTCCAGTAAAAAGGGCCTCCGGCCACCTGCACTCACCAAGCGAAACGCAGAGGTAAACCTCTACTTCACGCTGGTTTTCTGTGAGGTCGTGGTACCACCCCGGTTCGAGCCGGCCCACCCGTGCGACAGCAAAAGCTGCCACGTGGCTCTACCACTGTTAAAAAAATGCTTGTCAGCCATTTTAGAATAATTATCCATAGGCCATTGGGCCCGAACCCTCTGGCTGCTCGTAGAGGGGCTGCTATGGGCCCTAGCCCAGTCGACTTTTGCCGGGGCAGCTGAGGGCCGTAACATATTAATATACACCAGAAACAGGAATGGGCCGAGAATCGAGTCCTGAGGGACACCCATTAGTACAGGTGACCCGGAAGAACTTTTACCATTGATAATAACGTTCCGCTCTCTATTACTTAAATATGAAATAATAAGTTTAAGCGGTGTGTTCTTGACACCATAGTACTGTAGCTTCCTGATTAATGTCTCATGGTGAACACAGTCGAAGGCCTTTGAATGGTCACAAAATATATCCAAAGCATCCTCTGAATTCTCCCATGCACAAAAAATATGTTTAATAAGCTCAACTCCAGCGTCAGTTGTCGAGCGACCCCTTGTAAAACCGAATTGATTTTTATGTAGCAATTTATTAATATTAAAGAAACTTAACATCTGATCTAAAATAATTATTTCAAAAATTTTACTAAATGTTGGTAGTACAGAAATTGGTCTAAAATTGGCGGGGTCTAATGTACTACCAGATTTAAATATAGATATGACTTTACTATGTTTCATTAATTCAGGAAACACACCAGATTCGACGCTTATATTAAATATAGTGGCTAGATAAGGTGTAAAGTATCTATTATAGATAAAATAACTTTAACGGAAATCCCCCATAAGTCTGCCGTTTTCTTAACATCAATAGTTTTAAAATATTTAACGATATCTTTTGGCAGTACTTTATGGAATTTAAAAGTATTTGAACAAGCCTTTACATTTTGTTTGAGCAATGATTCGGCGACAGTAGAAGAATTTAATGATTTTGTTGTCAAAAAAGGAACGTCAGTAAAATGTTTCTCAAAAGCCATAGTAACTTCTTGATCAGATCGCGTTAAATTATTGTTAATATTCAATTGAAAATCCGAGTTGCGTGGTTTGACCTTGCCCATTTTACTATTTATTATTCTCCAGGTCATTTTAATTTTGTCGGATGCAGTTTTAATTTTGTTGCTTAAATGTAGAGCCTTAGCAGTGGAGCACACTTTTTTTTAAATATTTTAGAATATGTTTTTACATAATCTCTAAATATAACACTACTATTATATGATCTTTCATCATAAAGCTCGTATAACCTTCGCCTACTTTTATAAATTCCTACTGTCGCCCATTCATTAAATGATTTGCGACTGTTAAAAGAGAGAGTTTTAGAAGTAAATATTCTACTAAATTCACAACTTATAATTTTAAATAATGTAGCATACAAATAATTAGCACTATTTTTAAACAAAAGTGATGGAAGTCTTTTTATTATGTTACTTCTAAACCTCTCCAAGCGATGTTCATTTATTGGAACAAACACAACTTTCTTATTTTTCTGTTTTTGTGTAAGGTAGTGATTACCAACTGTCCACAGTGATCTGAACTTAAATTTTGAATAAGTGATTATTCAAAATTTAAGTTCAGAAGTATAAAAATGGGCCTTATAATTTATATACCATTTATTCTGAAGAAAAACCTATACATAATATACAAAAATATATTGATACATTCGCTATTAATAAATTATTCATTTTTAAGTATTTCTGGTTTACATTCATGAACTTAACTACTAAGCCATAGCATAAAATAAATTTTCCCGTTAATCGGGTAATAGTTAAGCTGCTGGTATATACAATTTTTCACGCACACTACCATCCTTGCAATTGTCTTATACACACTAGAATATTAAGTTGCCGTATTCACGGAGCTGTTACTTTCAGGTAGCGCGGTATCTAGTCAGAGCGCGCGATGACCTTTCATTAATCTATGAGTAAGTGCTTTTTCTACAGCCTTCAAAAAGGAAACGGTACTCAATTCGACTGTATTTTTTTTTTCTTTTTTTATGTGAGTTAACTCATAACTTTTTTCTGGGTGAATAGATTTCGATGATTCTTTTTTATTTGAAATTTTTAAAGCTGGTGCTTTTCATGTGGTCCCATATAAATTTGATCAAGGTTTAACCAATAGTTTTTGAGGTATTCATAGATTAATGATAAGTCATCGCGCGCTCTGACTAGATACCGCGCTCCCTACAAGTAACAGCTCCATGAACGCGGCATCTTAATATTGTAGTGTGTATAAGACAATTTGCATGATGCTAGTGTGCGTGAAAAATGGTATATGTCAGCAGCTTAACTATTACTCGATTAACGGGAAAATTTATTTTATGCTATGGCTTAGTAGTTAAGTTCATAGTTATGAATGTATTCCAGAAATACTTAAAAATGAATAGTTTATTAATAACGAATGTATCAATATATTTGTGTATATTATGTATAGGTTTTTCTTCTGAATAAATGACATATAAATGATAAGGACTCCTTTCTATCAGTTTAATTTTTTTTATTTACATGTCTAACTAATATTCACAAATTATTTAAAAAATAGTATATGGTGTAATCAAAATAGTGCTTTCTATTCTACGCGTCAATATGATCAACTTTTACTATAGATCTATCTTCAAAATCGCAAGAAAAATCAGGTCTTCCATACATTTTGAGCAAGTTTGTACGAAATTTTCTATGGAATAACTGATATTGAGATATTTTTTATACGATCAGGGTGACAAACAAGCACTCAGTCTACCTGATGGTAAGTGGTTGCTGTGGCCCATAGACATATACATGTTGTTATAGCAGCAATATAAATACACATTCTGTGAAAATTCTACATATTACGGTTCATAAGATACAGCCTACTGACAGACAGACGGAACGATAGTGGAGACTTGGGTCCCGTTGATACTCTTTGGGTATGGAACCCTAATAAATGGCAATTATGTCATTTGAGCAATACTACAGTAATAAACATTAAATAATATAAAATTAGGTTATATTATAATAAGTTAAATATATTATATTATAAAATATAGTAACAATAAATTCACATATAAAAATCTCAGCCACGGGGAACTTTATTTTTGCATTTGTGACAACACTATCGCGTCATTGATATTTTGTGACTTATTTATGACTAGTGTTATTTTATGTTAAAATTTCGAAATCGTATGATACTTAATGATAGTATGTGATTCCAGTGTCTTTCTTATTTCTTGTAGTATTATTTTTACACAGTTTCTATACGTAAACTGGTATTTTACTTCGGATTATGATCAAAATTTAATAAAACATTCAGTACGTTCACCTCACACGTTGCCTGCAACGTGACTGGCTCGGGTACGCCGATTTCGGCGTAGTATTTGTTGCCGCATTTTACATGAGCGCCGGCGGTATCTAGTCAGAGCGCGCGATGATCATTAATCTATGGAGTTATTCTTAATAATTTTCTTACAAGAAAATAAAATATTCGCAAAAAGCAGTTTTGTTTTTGTTGCTTTTATTTAAAATTTCACCAAAAACATAAATGTGAAAAGGGGTCTGAGCTTGGCACTCATTCAGATCTCAAATCTTTTAGCCGCGAAGCCGACAACCCAAAAGTCTTTTGTACCAAACTTGGCCCCGTTTCAGATTAACGTTTTTTTGGTGAAATATCATTAATTTTTGAAAAAAACATTATTTTATTAATCTACATAAATACATGACCTTCAACGTTTTTTCTTAAATTTAGTCTTTACTGTTTTCTATCATCATTACAGCCCTTCACAAGTCCACTGTTGAACATAGGCCTCCCCCAAAGAACGCCACAAAACACGGTCCCGAGCCACCTGTATTCATTAACTTCCTGCATGTTTTAACAGTTCGTCACTCCATCTAGTGGGGGGACGCCCTACAGTTCGCCTGCCGGTACGACGCTACCACTCGAGTAACTTTTTTACTCATGGGTTGTCGGTTCTTCGAGCTACATGGCCGGCCCATTGTGACTTCAGCTTACTAATCCGTTGGGCTATGTCGGTTACTCTGGTTTTACTACGGATATCCTCGTTATTAAGTCTATCACGCAGAGAAACCCCGAGCATAGCTCTCTTCATAGCTCGCTGAGCGACTTTGAGCATCCTCATACAGCCAGCAGTGAAGGACCACGTCTCAATCGTACAATCTAGTTTTGAAGTTTTGAGATATGACTGACGAAAATGCCGTTATCATGGTCGCCACGAGAATGCACCCACGCTGTTGCTTGGCGTAACACTAACCCGTTGCGTAATTTTGTTTTCGAGGCTTATCTAAGGGCGCGGGGGGAAAGGTCAAGAAACCAGGAAGGGGCACACAAAAATGCATGTTCGATCTACCATAGTAGAGCGCGCGTGCACTCTAGTGTTAAGTGCTAAAGTTTCATTGAGAGTATATAGCAAATAGCTCATAGCATCAGCAAAATAAAAAAAATTCTTTCTATAATACCAACCAGCTCTTTTAATCTGCCAGCTAAATTGAGTTGTTTCCTTTCTGATAATAAATCCTCCAAGCGGCCAGGAGTACACACAACTAGATGGGCCCCTTTGTTCATATTTTCTACATCCACTTCAATCGCTCGTCCACCTACTAACAGTGCCATAGTAATGTGTGATAATTCCGGCTCTTGTAAAAATAGTTCTATTACCTGTCAATAGATTTATAATATTATTTTTATTATGATCTAACAACCAACAATGAAGCTAAAATTAATAAAGGTAAGTAGCTTTTTAAAACACACAAAATTTTATTAGCTGCAATTAATTGTACAAGGTAGCAGTGAATGTTTTTTTTTTTATAGGAGAGGGGGCAAACGAGCATGCGGCTCACTTGATGGTAAGCCCATGAACAACTGCAACACCAGGGGAATCGCAGATATTTCGCTAAAGTTAATTATAATAAAAGAGAAAATTTTACCAACTTGATATATGAATATTTATGGAGTAGGGAAATTATAAAGAATAAAACAGATCCTTTTTAGGCATTTATAAAAGTAATAAATTATACTTACAAACAACAAGCAATAAAGAAATTATTATTATATTTCTCATGTGGTAGAGCCATGCTGCAGCTATATTAATAGTATAGTTGTAGCACGAATGGGTTGGCTTGACCGGGGAAGGACCACACTCTCACAGAATACCAGCGTAAAATAGCAGCTTAATGCTGCTGTGTTTCGTATGGTGAGTGTAGAGAACCGGAGACCCCTTTTACTGGAAAAGAGGCATTCTATCTTAGTCAGGTGACAATGCATCTGCATTTTGATTTGCATACGAAGATAGATCTAGATGTCTAGGCTGTGGCAAAGCCTTCGTGATCATTTTTTACCGCCCACAAATACATGAGTACCCAGAAATCTTTACAGTTGTGATACCCCCGCTCCCACCTCACTCCTGCCGGAGATGGTAAATATTATCATTTTGAGGTTAGATCTATGGCATTTTTTTTTTAATTTTACTCTAGAAAGGTGTATTATACATTTTATAGGAGTGGTGTCAGGAGGTAGGGGACACCCCTTCCGCCAGTCTCCATAACCCTCCTACTAAAAGATTCAAAAATTTTATCGTCCTTTAATTACCTTATAAATTTGAGTAGCAAGTTCCCTTGTAGGTGAAATAATAACAGAGTAAATGAAGTCCTTCCGCAATGGAGCTTCTTTCTCCTTTTTTATTAGCATTTCTAGCATTGGCACAACGAATGCAAGAGTCTTGCCAGAACCTGTAACCGCCTCAGCAACAACATCCTTACAAGACAAAATAAGAGGAATGACTGCCGCTTGGATAGGAGTCATAGTTTCAAAACCTTGCTTACTAATGCATTTTAAAATTGGCTTTGATAAAGCTGGGGTAACTTTGGCCCAATTTTTATTTACCATTTTGTAATATTATCTTTCTTTATCTAAAATACCCAAAGAGATTAAATAAAAATAGTTACTGTATAAAGTGTAAACATTAACATGTGATTGTTGTTGTTTTTATTTTTCGCTCGAGAGAGCAGGCAAAGGAACTATGCCATACAGCCTTGTCTTTTTTATTTTGAATATATAAAATTTAACTGCTTCACAATATATTGATGCGTCACATTGTGCAGCCCTTGGTAGATTTTGACGGCAACTTGAGTCAGCAAACAGCTGACAGTTGGCGATGGTATCTAAAGGCGCCCATGCAAACAAACAGCTTATCTTGAGAATCCATCACCATCAGAGCACCCGTTTCACCGTTTCCACTAAAAATTCATGATTGTAAGCTGTTACTTAAAAAAAAGTCCCGCTGGGTTTCTTGCTGGTTCTTCCCAGGACAGAGGTTTTTTTTTTTCGAACCAGTGGTAATCATACAAAAGAGTGACTCTCAATAAGTATTATTTATAATCTATATTGAATAAAAAAGTTTCCATTTCTGTTTCTGTTCACATGCGTAGACAGTTAATACATAAAATCGCACCACTTTTACATATCAAATTCCACTTCAAACTATTATTTAAACTATAAAACAGGAGCTGCAAACCGCCGCCGGTTACTCAAAACTCCATTATCATTAGAGATGGATAACTCAGGAAAGATAGATACAAAAGATATAAATCAATCCGTTTCCATCAATCACTCTTTATATCCATCCGCATCCAAATGTATCACTGTATCGTTACAACTTATTCACTCAACTCAAAGCATCTTTTAACTTTTTATATCTAACATCTATGTCGAACATTGCGCACACTGCTTACTGTTATTTCTCGCCCGGCCATTCTAGGAAGATTTCGAAGTCCATAGTACAGACGTTTCTTTCGCAGCTCACTATTTAGAATGTTCTGTCGCGTTTTGGCAAGACGGAGAGAGTGAGTTGTTTGACCATTATAAACTGTAATACGTTGGCACGAAAAGGTAAATTGATAATTCTATTACTGGTGCATAGGGCTTAAAGTCATTAAGCGGTACGTTAACATTTAAGTATTATACTGGTTTAAACTGTACCTATGTGTACTTTGCCTATGAATTTTTTAGTAAACAATGCAAACTAATTTCGATTATAAAACCATCGTTTTTAAGAAAGTTTTATAACCGAAATAGTAGTCGTTTATATCCATAAAAAAACGGCCAAGTGCGAGTCGGGCTCGCGCACCCAGGGTTTCGAACAAATCCGTAGGTATATTAGTTTAAAATTATTAAAAATACCCTACCTATGTTATTTACGTTAATCATTTACTTAATTATTATTTTAAACTAAAAATTTAAGTAAATTTTTCGAATAAGTGTATAACAATAATAGCGCCCGCTGTAAGTTTCACAGTACGCGAGCAACCCGGGTTCGATCCCCGCCGGCACCAATTAAATTGTTAATAGCAAGTTTAAGTGCTGATTTACCACGTGTTCGGCGATGAAGGAAAACATAGTGAGGAAACCTGCATGTCTGAGAAATAAGAAAACTTTAATTTTTTGATCATAACAAATAGATACCTAGAAAGAAACAGCAGCCAAATATATCAGAAAGATACACAATGTTACGACCAAGCAAAACGCAAACAGTTCTATAGGTCTTATATATAGGTCGATAGGTATCTATCACTAGGATTGAGTTGAGTAGGATCGAGCCACGCTGAGTGAGCAACGCAATGTAATGCGATGCGTGTCGTGAAAGCGAGCTTGATCTATTGATACATAAGGAAATAAAGATATAAAAGAGTGATACATATCCTAGTGATCAAAAGATACATATCAATCTTTTCTTTTAAGTGATACACATTGCCCATGTCTAATTACCATTTATGGAGTGTAGAGTAGAAGGAGGACCATCTCTGTATATGAAAAGTGTCCCTAAAAACGCGTCCAATAAGGGTGGCGCTGCAGTAGCATAGGATAAATTTAAAAAAAAGCGCCAAAATTCATTAGAATAAGATGGAGAAATAAACAAGGACTGACCAATCCGCTTGGTTTTGTACTACGTAAATAGTTGAGGTTTTGTATACTGGCATTTTACTAACTAAGTACTCTAGTCATGAATTTTTTTTAATATTTTAATTCAGCTGACTTCACTCCGTCTACAACAGCTGTATTCATATCGTAGTTTTTCAGACGCCAGTGCTATTGTGGTAGGTTTTGGAACCTCTATTTTCCGTATATATTTGGACACTTTTTCAACTTTCTTCTTACTTCTCTTTCTTTCTAACTTATAAGATGGTTCTCCTTCTACTCTACACTCCATATTACCATTGGTGAAAGTTGACAAATTGACACTTGTTGTTATTTTTATTATTCGCTCGAGAGAGCAGGCAAAGGAACTAAGCCATACAGCCTTAAATTGACACTTGACATTGACATTTGTTGTTGTTGTTACGATTCAATTCAGGAGGCAAAGGTCATACTCATAGACCATACTAGTGTAATTTTTATTTTGTATACTAAATTCTACACAATATGCTGATGCGTCACATTGTAAAGCTTTTGGGCGATTTTGATGACAGCTTAACCTGAGAGTTGATGACGATAGTATCTCAAACCCTTAAATGGATAAAACCACCTCAGATTAGTATCACCATCGGAGCACTTTTTACATCGTTTTTACTAATAGTTCAAATGTGCAGACCTTTAAAAAATCGCATTATCATACATAAAAATCCACTAGTCATTATTATGACGATAAGTGGTAAAATTAAAAATCGTACATCCGTCTTCAATATAAATAAAATAAGAACATCATCATTGTAGTCGAAATCAATTAAACACGCATTATTAGGGATAACTCAAAAACTACTACCGGTCAGATCACAAACATAAAAATCGTTTCACTTCGAAAAAGTTCTCAGGTAACACACAAAAAAACTATTGGTAAGCCTCCGTAGAATCTACTTCACCTGAGGATGCCTTGAGTAGAGGCGAAACACGTGTCGTATTTTTAAGAGTGGTGTGTCGTGCCTAGTGTGGTGGTGCTGAGGGTGGTAGTGCTGGGATTAACGGCGACGGGTATAGTGCGCGCGATTGAGGGAGGGTGGGAGGTCCCCTTAAAACTGGGCAGGACACATCATTTTCTTTCTTAACGCGGAATTAAGCAAATTAGTTTATAACAACCCCATTAATTATACTATATTTTTACCTATATAGCAGTATCTCCGGTATTCCGTTTAAAATATTTGATAGGGGCTTGAATAGAATAAATTAACATGTTTATTCAACCGCCTCGTTACAGATGTGCAACCGACAAATATTTTCGACATTTATTCCTAGATTTTTTAACTGTTTTTTGTTGAATTTAATGATATAATGAATTCACATTCTTACATATAAATCAATCGTGATGAATCCAATCACATGGTTAATAGAATCAAATTTTACTCACAATATTTCAAAATAATATCGCGTAATATGACATGGCTTAAAAAACAAGCATCCAATCCAAAAATCTTGATAAAAATCGATTTCGATCAATATGGCGCATGTTGATATGACAAATTGACAGCTGTGTTTTGTCTTTGTGTGAACGTTACAATATATTGTAATGTTTTATTTACATCTCAGGCTCACCAAATAGTATAATTTACAATGACTCGGCCATTCGGCAATAACGATAAACGTTTTTCAATCGACGACGCTTTTGAAGAGGAGACTGATGAAGCCATAAAAGTATACGGCGCAACGGGTGATCGGTCTCCTTTGCAGAGCAAATACAAGAATAGCGGTGACTATATTTCCAGGTATTGCTCTTTTAACTCATATTGTAAATACCTTATATGCTACATTCTCAAAAACTAAATTTTGTGTTGTTTGCACTATGATCTTGACCTTTTCATGAGTCATAAACTCATAAAGCCATAGTGGGGCAAAAGGTATTTGAACTAATACACACAAGCGGTTACCCGCGATCCATAACCCTAATTCACACCATACTATGATGCTAATTTCATGCCTCTATTTGTTAATAGAACAAGTGCATCACCTTATTACAATTTTAGTGTTATCTGTTAAAATATATTCCTGTTATCATAATCGCATTAGCTTGCATAATAGAACAATGCAATAAAGATCAAATGTAATAATTAGAAAAATAAACAGAAAACTTATTACTTCACATTCTGTTTTACCTATTTTAATTAAATATGTCATTAGTATTTAATCTTTATATGTAATTTGCTGCTATGATCTTTTTATATCCTATAAAGTAATTTATGTAACTTATCAAGACATCAAGAGAATGTAGAATTTTAAACTTAGGGTTGAGTTTGAAATCGTATTACCTGAATTTAAGGATTCTGTCACTGTGGGTCACTGTACTGTCAAGGGGCTTTATCTGAAGCACTTGCAGAGAGAGCGGCGTTAAACAATTTTTAATTATTTTTTAAAACTATTGGTTAATCACTAAGTAAATGTGAAATGGATCGTATATGTAACTAAATTCTAACGTTTTTGACGTTGCATCTGTCAAAGTCATCCCAAAATGCTTAAAATGAATCACTAGGCCGGCAAAATACAGGCTACTTACTTAACCCAACCCGGCAATTTCGTTGACTGACAGATATACTTTACGTCATTCTGTTGCTTCCGAGTTTACGTGAATGTGTTCTCTTACGTTTTTATTTGCCTCCTCCTCCTGTTTTTTGACGACTTTGCTACCCTTCTGGACACTGATTGAGTGCAAGAACAAGCGAAGTGAACTCGGGATCTCCGGCACCCAGACTTGGACAGGTTAGGTTAGAAGGGGATGGCGGGGTCGACTGAGCGAGCGAGCGAGCAAATAGACTCTGCTATCCCTTTCATGGTTATTTTTTTGTAAACCGAAACAGATGAGCCCCACGTTGAGTGGCGTGGAGCCTTCCCCTCCCCTAACTCTCTACCCCCATAAATCAGGTGTATATTGTCAAAATCATTACGGAAATATAACCTCAAAATGA